TCCCAATACCTTTCCTTTTGGTAGTGCAATAGGGCAACGAGCACCCCAGCCGCACTGCTTTGTCTTGAAAATCTCAATCGGAATATCACGAGGTTTTTGAGCAACGCGATTACCGCACAGTGAATCACATCTACAATACTGGAGCAACTTCAGTACGGTCGACGTATTCCCTTAGATAAACCTATACCTTGTTGCACTCAATAACTTCAACTCCTTGCGGGATACGAAATGCAAAAAGTCCCTGTACAAATTGTCAATACGTTCCGCAACAAAAAGAAGTACTCACCCCGCTATAAGCGTGTAACTTATGCCCTCTTTCATTCGTGACTTCTGATTCTGCCTGACAGTCGCATTGAGATGCTCTTTGACACGACATGCATGCACATGCAAGGAAAGCCCCTGGATCCACATCAAAGATCAACTGGAGACCATCATTATCACTGGTTCATGGAATCAAAAGGATTCAACAAAATGAGAGACCAGAGAACACACAAATGATATGATCTCTCCATGTATTTGAATTCGTGTAGATGCTGTCCAATGTCGCCATCTACGATCTCGTTGGAGATGCGTATATCTGCGGCACCAGCTTCCTGTGCTGCTTGGTTCCAATTACTCTGTAAGAGCGCTCGCCCGCGCCTGCAACACATAAGTAACATAGACGTGTAGGAACGCAATAATTAAACTCACAAAGGCTTCGCAGGGCGAACAAATATAACGTCGCCCTTCATAGCTGACGGTGCGGGTTTTGAAGTGCTGGCCTGACCGAATTTGATAGAGTGGTTTGTGTTAACATTCTTGGATTTTTCTGTGACACCTTTTGATATGGCCCTGGGAGATTCCACTGTGCTTGTAGACAAATTGAACATCAAAGAGCGAAAAGTGTCATCCCCTATGGAAGGTGACCTTTTCCTTGCAGAAGCACCTCTTCTAAATAAGGGATTCGGAGGAGTTGGTCCACGAATGCGTTTGACGGAGGACAAACGTGGTATATCAGATGATGGGGTAGAACGCGGGGTATTTCGGCGCACACGCAGGCGAGACGCCGCATTGCCGTCTTCGGCGTCGGGTTCATCTGCGTGCCTGCGTGCACGTTCTATTTCCTGATCCCAGTCTGCTGCTGAGGGCTTGTCAAGTCGTTTGCGTTTCTTCTCCTCATATGCTTGCGCGCGCAGGGAGGTGAAACGCTTATGCACTGCGTCATCTGGCCAAGACACTTCCATGTCTAGACCGTCCTGGGCAAGTACATTGCGCTTATTATCTTGAAATTTTTTCCAGAGATTGATCAAATCACTGCGATCAGTTATATCGGTTTGCCAGGTCGTGTTTGTGCCATCCTTTCGCGACCAGTCTCCCCATCTCACCTGATGGTGTTTTAAGTACAAATCAAGTGTAAATTCCACTTATATGCCTACTTCATATCTAGTAGACTCGTAAATACGGAGACGGGTGGAATATAAGTGGGGCTTACCTCGAAGTGCCATCAGGATCAACTTCCTCACCTACGACCCCCTTGATTGGCCACTCTCCATTCTCATTCCCACCCTCCGCATCACTCCAGCTTTCCTCTGGAGAGGGAGACCGTTTCCACATGTCCATCATGCATCGAATTCACAACAGCGTCGAGGATAGTATAAGGATCAACAATCTTTGTCTAGTATAAAGGTCTACCTCTAAGGATGGTATGACGGAAGCAAACGGGTCATTTCAAAATGATGTCCCGGTCATGTGACCGCTTAATCTACGCGTCCACACGCGTCGCGTCTTTTGAGGGCGCTCGGACCATTATTCTTCACTTTTACCCACCATCATGTTTATGCTACGGCGCGCCCCAACGACTTCAGATGGGAAACTTGTAGATAGGCTACAAGAGAGCACGCGTGTAAACAAGCCATTCAAACCCCCATCGCTTGTCAACGCTTCCGAGCGCGTCCAGCCTCAGCGCAAGCGCAAGCGGGTTTCGTACAAAGACGCAGCGGTTGACGAGAACGACAGTGATGATGACGATGCGAGAAAGAAGAAAAAGAAGAAGGCAGACAAGGATGGGACTTACAACGAGGAAGAGTTGAAAGCTGCTATCAAGACCTTTCCGGTGTACAAGCCCAAGCCATTCGATATGCTGCGCAGGTTCTCAATGCCCACTATGACGAACAAGAGCGGAGAAAAGGTACACATTCTGCCTACCAATGCATCTCTGGGGATTCGTCCACCGACCAAGATCCTCCCTCGCCCGTTACATGATCCAATGGAGGATCATGCCATTGTCCTCTACGACCCTACAATCGATGACCGCGAAACTGACGAAGAGAAAAAGGAAAGAGAGAAGGAGGAAGCTAAAGAGAAGGCAGCCAAGGAAGCACAAGAGAAGACTGCAGGGATGTATAATCCGCACAAGAATCTACGGACACTCCTGGGCGAAGGCAAGGGCAAGAAAGAGAAAACACAGAAAGTACCTGTAGTCATCGATCCTAGACTTGTAAAGGTTCTACGTCCGCATCAGGTTGAAGGCGTCAAGGTGAATATTTTTCTATGGCGTGCTTTTGCTATACTCATTCTAACACGCAGTTCTTGTACAAATGTACCACCGGCATGATGGTGGACAACCAGTATGGCTGCATCATGGCCGATGAAATGGGTCTTGGCAAGACCCTACAATGCATCGCATTGTTATGGACCTTGATTAAGCAATCCCCTCACGCAGGAAAGCCCACAATAGAGAAGTGCATTATAGCATGCCCTTCTAGTTTGGTGAAAAATTGGGCGAACGAACTTGGTGTGTTGTTCATCTTTCAGTTCTTCCGAGACATCTCTCACCTTCTCTCAGTCAAATGGCTAGGGAAAGATGCTATTTCAGAGCTTGCAGTAGATGGCAAAGGTGGCAGAGGTGAACTTCATGGGAAGGTTGTTCGGTGGGTAGAAGCAACGGGTCGAAATGTTACACAGCCAGGTTTGCCGTTAGCCTTGGTGATGACCTGACGTTCATGTTTTTCTCAGTAATGATCGTATCCTATGAAACCCTTCGTACTCTCACTGCGCATCTGGCCAACTGCAGCATTGGCCTCCTGCTCTGCGATGAGGGCCACAGATTGAAGAACTCTGGTGAGCTCACACGTTCGCGGAATTTAATTGGAGCACTATGAATAATGTGTCCTGTTTCAGGCAATCAGACATTCCAAGCCCTGAATTCGCTCAATGTCAAGAGACGAGTCATTCTTACCGGAACACCCGTCCAGAATGATCTCTCGGAATATTTCTCCCTCTTAAACTTCGCAAACCCTAACTTCCTTGGCTCCCGAGACGACTTTCGTAAAAACTTCGAGAACGCTATTATTCGTGGCCGCGACGCGAGTGCTAGTGCAGAAGTACAGGCTCAATGTGAGAAGAAACTCAAGGAACTTGGTGGTCTTGTCACTAAATTCATCATTCGGCGAACAAATGACCTATTGTCGAAGTACCGTGAGTCGGTCTTGTTGCGCTGTTGCGATTTTTACTACAATTATTATACAGTACCGGTCAAGTACGAGCACGTCGTGTTCTGTGGACTTTCTGACTTTCAGCTTGCCTTGTACCGCCTTTTCATATCCTCACCTGAGATCAAAGCGTTACTTCGCGGCACAGAGTCCCAGCCACTCAAGGCAATCAATATCCTCAAGAAGCTTTGCAACCATCCTGAACTACTCAACCTTCCCTCCGACCTCTATGGTTCCGACAAGCTTCTACCCGAAGGTTATGGTGGTGCAGGCGCCACAGCGCGCGAAAAAGGCAAGAACCAGACGGTACGGTGTGACTGGGGAGGAAAATTCTTGGTCCTCGAGCGGTTCTTGCATCGCCTCAAGACAACTACCAATGATAAAATTGTGCTCATTAGCAATTACACGCAGACACTTGACTTATTCGAGAAGCTGTGTCGAAGCAAGAAGTGAGTCCACGTTTGACGGTGCTTTCGGTTCGTGTTGATGTACGAACTAGGTATGGCTTCTTTCGTCTTGATGGGACCATGACGGTCACCAAGCGTCAAAAGCTCGTGGATCAGTTCAATGATCCCAATGGGAAGGAATTTATCTTCCTGCTAAGTAGTAAAGCCGGAGGATGTGGTATCAATCTTATAGGTGCCAACAGACTGATCCTTTTTGACCCTGGTCAGCATGTTCGGTATTCTGGTAACCTTGCCTAGACTGACAAGATTTATGCAGACTGGAACCCTGCCGCTGATCAACAGGCTCTTGCACGTGTATGGCGTGACGGCCAAAAGAAAGAGTGTAAGTCTGACACGCGTCTCTTTTCAGTACATCGTTGACCACTATTATCACAGGCTTCGTCTATCGCTTTATCTCGACGGGAACAATTGAGGAAAAGATATTCCAACGTCAAGCATCAAAACAAGCTTTGTCTTCTGCTGTCGTCGATGAGAAGGAAGATGCTGAACGGCATTTCTCGATCGAGTCCCTCAGGCAGCTGTTCCTATTCAACGAGACCACGATTTGCGATACTCACGATACCTTCAAATGCAAACGCTGCAAGGACGGAAGACAAGTTACCAAGTCGCCTGCATTGTTGTACGGAGATGCAAGCACGTAAGTCTGCCTCTTGGAAATGGGATGCACACCCCCTCACCTTCGTGCGCAGGTGGAATCACTATACCAATGAGGAGCTAAAGAGTAATCATGACGACCTACTCCGAGCTGAAGTAGGCTTATCTGAGATCTCCTTCGTTTTCCAATACATCAGTCACTAGAAGATGTCAGGGTTTTTGTGATTGCGTTTGTCCGCATCATTGTCATAGACATTCATTTCTCACCATTTGTAACACTACACGGCACACGATCGTTATACTACAAAGATAATACTACAACGGTACAGGTATTAGTGCAAGGATAGTTATACAAATGCCATTGTCCTATGTAGTAGGATCCCCAGTCGCCACTGATCTTTCTCACCTTAACTTTCACAACTGACAGCAATAGCTCAATGCCATGCATGATACTATCAACTTTTGGGTTTTTTTTCTGAATCCAATTTATGTCCTTTGGAGAACTTCTGGTTTATTTGGTACTCCCAATGCAGTCATTTTCTGCAGGAGCTATATTCTGGCACAAGTTAACAATAATTGTCCACAACTAGCGTAAATGTCATATAAAGAATGGAGATTCGTCAAGGACATGAGCAGGACTATCCAGCCTCAAAATAAGCTTATCGCCTGATGTCATCGACGAGAAGGAAGGCGCTGACTCAACGGCCTATCAGGCAGCTGTTCCTATTCAACGAGACCACAATCTGCGATACACACGATACCTTGAAATGCAAACAGCATCTGCAACAACATAAAGCCAGTTATCAAATCACCTGCATTGTGGTTAGCGAGTAAATCTGCCTCTTGGAAATGAACGCATACCGACAATAATGATGCTATGTTACAACATCATCCCAGGCTCCCCAGTCGTGACCAACCTTTCTCACTTTGACCTTCTCTCCTGATTCACCGAAGTAGGCAGCTGTATACCACATCTTCATTTCGTCTTCACTGAAGGGCCCGAAAGTCTCTCCGGTAGATTGCCCAGGGATGTCCCATTTGTACTCGTATGTGATGTCCGCAGATGGAGGCGTCCAATTAGGTCCCACCCTTCCGCTAGAACGCACTGCACGGACGAGTTCCTCGTATGATCGAGAGTAGATGTCAGTATCACCAAGCGACATAAGGTTGGATGCCAGATGGGTGATCATATCAATACCATCGAGACCCTTCGATTTATCTACCGCCTTGCTGACAGCCATAGCAGTATCATCTTTGGCCTTTCCATTAACTTTGCTGAAAGGCAGGTGTTGAAGTCAGCTGATCCTAAAGAATGCTTGCTCAACAACGTACCTGGTGGAACGCGAATTCTGTTTCGCCTTTGCGCCTAATCGTTGAAGTGCTTCAAGTATTGTTTCGCCTTTCTTGAGCATTCCGACGAGCTGAATTTCCAAAGCGCTCTTTCCACCACTCTGCTCAAGCTCTATCTCCTCCGCCCTCATCTTTTCTCTTTGTATTCGTTCCTGCTGTCGCTTCCTCCGACGCGCAAGCTTGATTTCCTTGTCGTCTAGATCGTCCATCCACCGATCGTGTACGGCGTGTGCGTCGAATGACCGGACATATGTGCCATCAGCAGCAAATTTGCCCTCTTCCATCTCCTCCCGCATATTGAACGAAGATAGCTCGAATCCCATACCAGCCTTCTTTCGTCGTTCTCTTTCATCCTCGTCTTCAGGCTCATCTTCATCTAAATCTGAATCTTCGCCATCGTTGAACTCCTGTCCTTCTATGTCCCCTAGGCGTAAGAATTCTTCCTTCTTCTTTCCCTGCGCCTCGTCTTTCTTTTCTTCCTTGTCGGCCATTGCAAACATATCATCGTCATCATCCGCCCCTTCCCCATCTGCGCCCTTTCTTCTGCTCAGTACCACACCCTCTCCATCATCACTTGAGTCCGAGTCGTATCCTTCATTCCTGATCCGTCCTTTCCGCTTGGTTAAAGGATTCTCAAGTGCAGAGTCGACTTCCTCTGCAAAGTTCACTGGATCTTCATCAGGCTCAGTGAAACGCGTCTTTTTTGGAGCATGTGAAGATTTTTGGGATGTTGATGCGTCTGCGCTGGACGTTGCTGACCGCTTCTGAGCCGTTCGGGGTTGCATATTGTAGTGCCAGTTGATAAGGAGAAACTATGTCAATGTTTGATGGTGTTTGTCACTCGGGCACTGAGCGCTGAGCACCCAGATTCTGCTGGAACTCTTTGGCTCTTGTGACTTTTCATCGGATACGTATAAATGCATATGCAAAAATGGCCATAGCCACGTAAAGTATTTTCAAACGCTATTCAGGAGTGTATAGTAGAAATCGTGATCAGTAAAAATTACATCGCAGTGATTTGCATGACAGCATTTGCATATCCAGTACTATCGGTGATCTGGACACGCATGAGGAGCACCGTGTCCGCAAGACCTATCAGTACTTGTGGCGGACTAAGCCTGGCTGAGATCTCCATATTCTGCGAGCTAAAAAAGACGAGCAATTCTTTCCCGGCCTTGGTAACGAACTGAATTGAAGATAAAATAAGTTAGTGAAAAATAACCAGACGTAAATGTAGTTGCTTACCGTCTGGCCTGAATGCAGACGTTGTTGAAATACGTCGAATTGCGTCTTGTGGTCATCGTCCGCAGAGGAATCGGGTACAACCCTCGCGCTGCCGAGGCCTGAGAAAGTGCTGACGATCCTGACTGCATCTTCTGATAGATAGAACGTTCCAGCTCGACCATCCAGCGACTTGTCAGCGTATATATCAGTGAATGAAACGCCTTTCATATTGTTGGAATCTTTCAATACGAGTGGAATAGGCGTATTTGCATTCAGAATGAGCTTGAATGTAGGAACAGATCTAACGATGGTTAGCTCAGGAATCATCCAAAAATCACGGCACAAACTCGTTGACGCCGTTAGGTCCTTGAGCCGGTTCCTGTAACTTGTACCTGCTCAGGAGTGAGATGGGACTACTGAGGAAGAAACAAGGACAGCCGCACATTGGTCCAAAGATAGTGTTGTCTTTTGACGTCTTCCATGACAAGCTTGAAATGGACGTCACCGAAGCTGAAGCTTGCACAGACGGGAACAGCTGCTCTTTGGCTTCTGCAAGACTAGAAACACATCATTCAAGCGAGGTCTGGTTGCACTTTGCGATATTATCTCACCTCTTTCGTGACGCTTCGTCTTCCACGGTCAGGGTAGCAGGGAAGGCTGCATCTTCGGTCGGAACATCATCGACAAGAGTTTCCACTGAAATTTCATTTATGGGTTGAGGTGGTTGTTCGACATTCGCTTCATCTTCGAAATCAGGCAACGCGTCTGCATCGGGCTTCAACCCTGCTATCTCCAACAATTCCTGTCCGGAGGGAACTGGTAAAGGAGCAGGAGCGGGGGTGTCCACAGGCTCCATCTGGCCAGCTAAGGATGTATTTGCTTGATGCTCGTGATCTGTCTCGCCTGCTGCATCTTCATCACTCCAGGATGCGATGGCAAACTCGTGCTCTGGAATATGAGATGGTGCTGGCGCATTTTCAATTGCTTGTGACTCTTCCCTTACATCCTTTGCCCGCCCGAAGCGACCCTTCACGCTGGTTAGGCTGCCCTTCACAGCTGTCAACAGGGAGCTCCGGTTCTTGCCTCGTGAACGTCCACCAGGGCCAGGTTTTGATTGTGTCTTGTGGGATGCGGAACTACCATTATGTTGAGATGAGCTCGAAGGCTGCCCAGCAATCAAGCGCGTTTTTGCGGGGATGGCGGCCCCTGAATTCTTGTCCATTAGCGGAGCAGCATCGATAAACTTGACCAAAGGATTAGCCGCCCGAGCACGGTGAAGAGGTACCGCTGACTCAGCGGGAGTGCCATTTCTTGATTGCGGAAGAGAATCGAAAAGGGGGTCAGGCGAGCTGGGTCCCTCGTTGGCCGAAAGAATTACATCTTCACTCAGTACTTGACTGACTTCGATGGTATCCTGGATATCAGGAGAGTAGCTGCGAAGGTCCTCGAACTCCACGATTGTCCCATTGACCTTGGGAGGATCGGCATGGGAGTTGGGGATATCCTGAGCATCAGGGTCATCGGGGCCTGTCTGCATCAACTCTCCTTCCACTTCTTCCACTTCTCCAAAAAGTTCCATGTCGAGCTCCCCTTCAGCGTCCGTATCAGTCAGCTTAGTCAGGGAAAGCTGACGCGCGCCGCGGGGACCTGGTGACGAAGCGCGCCTTTGTTTCGCCGGTGCTGATGATTTGGCCTTGCTTTTGGGCCCAAATGCCCTCACCCGTTTAGTCGATGCATAACCGGCGGTGCCAGGTTCTGACTCGCGCTTCCGCTTCGCCCTTGGTTCCCCCGCGGGTTTTTGATGTCTGCGCCGCTTCTTCGTGGTTAAGGGTTCATCATCGGAGGCATCATCTTCGAATGTCTCAGAAGGTCCTTGTAGGTTATCCCTACTAGATTTATTTTCAAGACGCGGACCCGCCCCTGACATAACGAACTATCAGACATAAGCGCTCTCTAGGGATGCAAATAGCATACCAGTAAAGCCCGAAACATGAACCTCCTCTCCACTCTCAAAAAGCTGTGGGTTGGTATGCTCTCTGCCGCGGGTTAAAGCATGCGCCCAGAAGGTCCTGAGGAAATGCTTTGAGCCATAAGTGAAAGAGCTTTCGGGTTCCCAACTGTGCAGTAAACAAGAATAAGTAAGGAAGCCACCTAGCGAACAAAGTGACACCCTACGTGCTATCATCCAAACTATACCCTTTCCACTGCGACGCGTCAGTTGAGCAAAACGCGACCTCTTATACGTTATGTACTTACTTTGACATGATATTTCTATTTCGACCAAAGGCTTAGCATACATACTGTAACAGCGCCTTGTCCTAGACTTACCCATATGATTTTCCTGCCCCGCTTCGCCTCCACGCGCGCCTTCGTCACAGACTCTGAACCATCATGAGTACAACCATAGGATAACTGCAAAGAACAGGCACTCGGAAACTCACCGACTTCGTATTCTGCGTCACTCATGGTGACATGAATAGAAAGGTGACAGTAAACCTTCGAGCTAAGGTTTCGCATTTTGGGCGTTGTACAATAATGTGGGAGAATATTTCCAATTGCAGTTCCCATATCATCACAAATTTTAATTATTGAGGTGACACGGAAGCAAAAGCAACGGAGTATCGAGTTATGTAGTATCATGGCAATATTCATCGCAAAATCAAGTTAACTATGATTAAAATAGGGCACAACTAAGTATGTTAGCAAGTGAGAATGAAATACAACAAGTAAGAAATAGTCAAGATACCAATAAGATCGTCGGGATGATATCAAGTCTGTCTTGAACGACTGGGCAAGGCTAAAAGCCTGCCTGAAATAAGACAATCCTTCACCCACGGAACGTGAACGAGCGTTACGTCGTCCTGAAGGTCCTCGGGGAAATCCGTGGCTTCCTTGACGACAACATAGTCATATGCGGGAAGATCTTTGGATGCAAATTTGACCTCAGTCGCGGCTTCCACCCGAGAAGCTCCCATGCAAATCATAATCCAAGGAACGACTCGGCTCGCGTCTTGCGTAGCATCGGGGTTACCCTGCACGAAACAATGAGTATCAATACAGCAAGCAGCAATGTACTGCATACCTTTCTCCCCCCGCGTGACGGTAAGGGCACGAGATCAGAGCCGAGGCACAGTACAGTCTTGCCAGAAAACAACTTGGATGCTACCGTATTCGACATGATATCAGTCAAGTGCTCTTTGCAGTTACCCCAGTCTAGGTCAACAAGTTGAGATACCCGAGCACTCAATGACTCTGAAAACCCAGCAGGAAGCAGTGCGGGTTGCCAGTCCTAAAAATAGCGGCTGTCAGCAGAAGATCGGCAAGACTCAAACCCAACATACCGGTGATGTTTGTTTGTCTAGATAATCATCTCGTATCCACTCATTAGACAGACATGGTATCCCAAGAGCAAGAGCTACCAGAAATTTCGGCTTCTGGTTGTAATCGTCGGCTAGGAGGAACACACGTTCCAAACCCTCGAACTCGGGCTTCGTCGGCTTGAACTTGAAGTTTTCCTGGGAAGCTATCCAGCGTTTATTTGACTGGCTATGGGTACCCTCCATGGGGAAAATGCTTGACCAGTCGTCAATGACTGTGCCTCCATTGTGCTTGATAGCTAGCATCACGCTGTCCTTCATTTTCTCAGGGTGCTTGGTGCGAACGGTGAGCGTCACGACGAAACCAGTCCTCGCGAATGGCTTCTTATGCTTGAGTGAGGTGGTACTCATCAAGGACATAGCGGAAGGTGAGGGCGTAGTACGTAGAGACTTCGGTCGGATGATTGTGACGATGGAATCTGCAGTAAGAGTGCGATCTTTCCAATGAGACTGGATAGCTCTTGAGGCAATCCGGACGTCCGAAATGGCGTAGTCTGAGCTTATGGTGTCAGAACCATCATCAACTTCGACACTGACGGATCCTGATTGCATCCGACTGATACCTACCACAGTACCGCGAAGATTACCGTGGCAAAGGATCACTCCATCTCCGACTCGCAGTTCACACCGACGGAGCATAGCGACATCCACCTGGTCCTCCGTCTCATCGTCAAATTTGATGAGATATTTAGTACCGGTCTGTAACGAGTGGACGGTGCCTGCATAATAATGACCATCTTGCCTCCACAATGCGAACACGCGAGTGGCGGGCTGAGCTGCAAGGGCGCGGCCTGTAGAAACAGTGTGACGAAGCCGTTTTCCAACTCGTGTAGCCGGCGCAGGGGTGTCAGCGACTTTATTACGAGTAGATGCCTTCGACGGGACACGAACAGGCTTGACATCTTCAATGCGTCTCCGCTTCCGCGATGAAGGTGCTTTAATCTCAGCAGGAGCGGGACCAACGTCCATATAGTCATCATTGTCAGCGGGTTCCGTCTCTTCCTCCTCCTGTTTTTCGGCGCTCGGAGTTGAATGTATCTCGTCCTGACACTCATCAGAAGCCTCAGTATCCGAAGAGACTTTACGCTTCTTTGCAGAGAGTTCCGCACGAGTGCGAGTGCTCTTGCGTGTAGGTGCGGGTAGTGCTTTCCCCTTCCCTTTCTCAATCTTGACGGAATGGGGGACTACTGTAGGGGTAGCCACTCGCTCAACCACCGAGGTTCGATCTTGCTGGTCCTGCTCAGGAGCAGAACTAGGAATTTCTCTAGACTCCGGGTTCGCCTTCCTCTTCCCACGAGTTGAACTTTTCGGTTTCGTTGTAGAAGGCTTTACCTGCGGTTTCACAGACTGAGGGTGACACTGGTTAAGATAAGCGACAAGAAACAGGTAAAGACCAGTCACCTTCTTGACCAGCACAGGGGGTGGAGGAATAGATGGCGGTATCATCGAGGATTTGCCCAAAGTCGGCGCTGCTGTGGACTTTACAGTTGATTTGAGCTGCAGAAGAGCAGCTAGAGGGACATCGCCTTCTGGATCTTGGCTACTTTCATGTACCTCCACAGAGTCTGCAACAATTTCTCCTGAACTAAGCTCTGACATGGGGCTAAGAGGACGGAAGGGGCGCTTTGTGGGACTCTCATTGAGCCTAATGTCTCTTGAGGGTGTGGCAGTGCTCGGTACGGGTGGTTCTGAGTCGGGTACGATGTCAAGGTTATCATATTCAGGCTGCGGTGACCGTGGACGATAAAAGGGTCTGATTGGCGGAGGTGCTTTGTTGTCCTCAGAAAGCAAGTCTGAAGAGTGTGTCGGTACAAAGTTTAATAGTTGGGTCTCGGCATGATCATTTGGCGTCTGAACAGGTTCAAACGGCTGTATGGCCGCTCTGCTGCCTGTGGCCGGAGGCGCACCGGTACCTTTGCCTTGCATCTGCCGAAGTCTGCGCTCCCGTTGTTCTGGGCGGATTAAAGACAAGAGACTGCGCGGACCTGGTGAAGAAGTCGTTCCAAGAGTGGCGCGAGCGCTTCTGGAAAGCGAGGTTGACGCGTATAGATCTTCCGCGACTGCGCTTGTATCGTGCAGTGGTGTTGATGGCTGAGTGGGCACAACCTCTTCAGGAATTGCCACAGGTTTCTTCTCCTGTGAAAGCTCATCTTCTGCTATAATAAGGGAAGATTGTGATGCATTGGCCTGGGCCCCATATCGATTGCGTCGTGCTTCGAGGGATTCGAGTGAGTCCTCTACATCAGACGTGAAGTAATGAGGTTGGGAGAAACATCGATTAAACAAAGGGCCTCACCATCATTCAACAACTGCGATGCGTCGGGATGGGGAACGCTTGTGCTCTGAAAAGAGCCTTCAGAACCGCTCGAGTGCGAAGGAGTACCTGGCACAAGGACGCTGCCACTGGCTTCGCTGGCTTTGGATTGCTCATAAGCGCGCCGTATTTTATTCATCCATGAGTCATCGTCCTCCTGTGACGTGGATGAATGATCCATGGCGAGATCGGTTGTAGCAGTGCGTCCTAGGTCAGAGAGTGGCACGTCAAAAATCTGAGTAGCCTGCGCAATGTATTTTGCTGCAGGATCTTGTGACACTGCGCCACCGAAGGAATCTTGCGAGCAAATGGAAGTAGACCTCCGACGTCGGCTGGGTGCCACAGGAAGGGATTTGGTAGGTTGAAGAAGCGGCTGGACAAGCCTTGCTGAACGAGGAGACTGAAAGGAGACAGACTTTGGGACTAAAAGGTAACAAAGATGTCACAATCTTAAAGCAAAAGAGTACAAAGGTTGATTGGTGGCTCACCATTTGCCTTGCCGATACCAGATGCTGTACGTGAATCAGGGTGGCTCAAAGAATCGGCGTGGAGACCCTTAAGATTGACCAGTTTGGTAGAAGATGCTTGCGGGGACGACGAGCGAGTACGTGCAACATTTTCATTCTTATTCTTATTTGAGGCTGGAGTGTTTTCTTTCTGAGATCCTTCCTCGACTATTTCCTCCTCCGTGTGTAAAACTTGTGGCTGCGTTTGTGTTTGGGCAAGCCAGTTGAGCTGGTAGCGGGATGTTGAACCTCGAGCAGGCGGAATCATCATGGAATCAATAGAAAAGTTTGTACTGAGGTTCCTGTCACCTCCCTCTTGCTCGCATTGGTGATTCAAACCCCACTGGTCGCTATGGTCCACAATTGATTTTTGTTTCGTAAGTGCATACTGTAGGAGCTGGGTCGGTTGCGATTCTATCGAATCACCACTAAACGGGAAAACTTTAATTGGAAAGTCCCGCTCAGCACGCAAGGACGACGCGCCTGTGATCAAAGATGGAGTCCATACGACCTTTGCGTTGCGCTGAGTGCGTATTTGTTGGCTGTAGTCACGTATTAATACTCTGCCTGGGCTGGAGCTACGATATGAAATTAGGGTGCATTCACAAACTGGGGTGCGACGCGAAAAATGAACCAGATCTGCGCCTGGACTCCGATGGAAGCCAAATGTATGGTCAACTAGCTCAGGGTCCATTAGAAAGAGGGTGATAAATTGGAATGAACACTGCCACTAACTCATTAGCTAAGCACGATTCAGCTCCTTGGAGTTGCAGTACGTAAAACCGCCTGTAAGGTTATCCGATTATTTATCGAGTCTCATCCTATGGCGGACTTCATGCTAGACTCCGTTGTGCAGCGATCTCAAGCTCCGAATAGAGTATGCCAGGGTCAAACTACTTACGTAAAAAATCAATGCACGTGCTCTTGACGCGTCAATCTAACCTAGTGGTGGTTGATTTCCTTGTTCTACTACATCTTCTCTTCCTGCCAACCTATCGTTTCGCATTCGCTCCTTTATCCCTCTGCGCTGGCCGCCGAAAAGTAGGCTGCAATGTACCAGATAGACAAAACGAAAAATAATCGCTCTTTATCTTCTGTCGCTCGAACACTTCTCTCCGCGGATGACTCGGATGCCGTCGCCGCCGCCGCCTTGATGCCCGCTATCAGCGCAGAAAAAACGTCCACCTCTAGAACAACTTTCAAGAAAGCACTTTCTAAGACGAAAGATAAAGCAAAGGCGACCTCCATCAGGCCTGTTCGTATCGCAGACTACGACTCCCAGGAGATGACGAACGTACCGAATCCTGTACCAGACACTGGCCTTCCTCCTCCAAGTGGTGATACAATATATTTCACGCCACCGCCAATTACTGCATTTTCTTCGGTAATCCATCAGTCCCAGGAGTACCACGCTGCAGCGATCACTGGCAAGTCTATCAGCGCGATTTCTGTGTCAACCTTCACCCCATTGCCACCACTACTCTCTCTTGAACCCACACCAACCGCAGACAATGAACATGCTATTGTAATAACGCCTGTTCCTTCTCGGACGAGTTCAACTCAGTCCCACAGTGCTGTCCCATCAGCGCGAGTCCAACGTCCCTCGCCATCACACCAAATTTCAAAACCGGTAATAATTGCACTCTCTGTCGTTGGAGGTGTCGTATTACTTGGGGTATTCATCCTGATAAGGCTTTTGAGACGTCCCCGCCGCCGCAAGTGTCCAACACCCTCTCTCCCCATTCTCCAGGATGGTGCCTTCCCAGATCACTTTGGGAGCGATGGGTCCGGATCCCCGGTTTTTGGAGGCAAGGAGCGATTCTCGCCCTCGCTGGGGAATGCACGAGGAAATACGGGGCTCTGGACATGGACTCAGTATCACTCCGGAATTCCAAAGCCGGCGCCAACTGTCACAGTCTCAAAGTCATCGTCAGGCGAACCCGTAAAAGGATCAAGCAGTCAAGAGAACTTGCTTTCCGAGAAAAGTACCTCGTTTGGTGGACAAAACCAATACTCTTTCACTGGGCAAGGCAACTTTGGACAAAGGACCCAACCGCCTCTACAGCCTATCCAGAATGCAATCACTCGCGCGGTCTCTCGGCTCTCCACTGTCTCTATGTCCCTTTACCCAAACTCGCCGGCCAACACTACCTATTATGGTGCGACGAACGTGGGTGTAGCCATCGAGAGCACGACGCCTCTGACAGGTGATGGACAAACTATGGCACGTGCAAAGGACAGGGTTGCGGCAGGACGCGCGCGCAATAGCATGGTCGCTCCTCCTGACGCCAAAGACGCATCCATGCTGCGACGCTCCCAGAGCTATGCTTACGGTGGAATGGATACTACCCCAACCTCACCTGGATCCGGGAGAAGCGCGCAGAACGGGGGCCGTACGCGCATCAAATCATCATATTACACACCTGGCTCACATCCTCGTACCTCCGTAGCTCCTTCGACATGGTCAAAAGACCGCGGACAACAAGATGGTCTCCACTCTGATCGCACTTATGGATTGCAACGTTCCGAGTCTCATCGAGGCCGTGAGACACAGGCGCTGACATGTGCTCTTGGACTAGCTTCACCTGTCCCGCCATCCCCTCATCCAACACTATATCCGGATGATTCCATGAGTGTGATTGGAGAAGCAAAGAAGGTCACCGTGACAGGCACGCGCAGCCAAAAGAAACCAGTTCCCAAAGCTATGCCCAATTACGACAAGTCGTCTTCTCCTGACTCTGCGGCGCTTGGAAGTTTGATGATGGTGGACTTCGCGGCATCAAAGTCGACTGCATCACTGGTAAACATACGTCCGTCCGAAGCAGCCAGGGAGATTCAAGAGACGCAAACTCAGGGAGGGCAGAGTTCGGGGGGGTTCGGTCAACCAAAAACGAGCTTGAAGAAGAGAGTGGAGGACAGACCACCACGTGTTCCATCACCTCCACCGTTGCCATCGCTTACACAGATGGCACTTGCTCACGCAAACCCCGAAGCGTATGCTGATTACCACAGCCCGACGTACAGCATCTACGGGTTGTATGATGGAGATAGGAAAAGTCGCGGGATGTCATTTGGATACTGATTTAGATTGATTCGCGTAGTACAAGCATCGCCTACTAGTATAGTTTTGTATGCCAAGGGATTATACGTTTGTGGTTTCCGCGCGCTGAGCACTGCAGCGCTGAATCCAGGTCACTGTCAACTTGAAGCAAGTACTTGCTAGTAAGTACTAGCAAGTGTGGACCTGGTCGACCTTGGCGGTCTTATCGTTTGAATCGATCAGGAACTGTTCCCGGCAAGTCAATAAAATTGACAGCTGTACATGTGATATGCGGGAGTTGTTACTGAGTTGTTATGTTCGGATTCGTGAGAGGGCGTCTATAGCTGGTTCAAAATTCTCCTTCTCTGTTCTTCTTTCCTGCTGCGGACAAGAAATTCCAACCAACTGCGCCAGGAATAAAAAAGCCTGGCAGCTGCGGACGACCCGAAGCCAGATCTAGGCTGAACTTGGAGTCGTTGCTGGGCACGCCCCTAGTTATAGTACTACGCCTTTTCACATACCACCCTCCTGCGATACCCCTTCGAGCTTTTTTTCCTTTCCAATACCCCATCCTATCTCTCATGTCCCAACTCGCCCTCCCTGCGCACCAAGAAAACCATGGCCACAAAGGCGACGACGACGACGATATCGAGTACGAAGAGCTCGGGCTGCTCCCCGCAGATATCCCGCCTGTTCCCTCATTTCGTGGCATTCCATTGAAATACATATCGTGAGTGTCGCGTCTTTCTGTTGCGACGTCTAAGCCTGGCATGATACTGCCAAGTTTTCTTGTCTCAAACACTGGGCGACCTTACTGACAACTCATGTCTACAGACTCGTGACGTTGGCGGTTCAGAATTCTCTTTTAACATTAATAATGCACTATTCTCGCGTGTCCATCCCTCCATCCCAGTCCTACTCTGCGCCAACCGCCGTTCTTCTGAACGAGCTTCTCAAAGGGTCCATATCACTCGCCATTGCTTTCGCCCGTATAAACCGTGTCACACCTTATACGTCCGACACCACACAGCTACCACTCACCGTCAGCCGCTTCTGGCATCCTACAAAGATTCTACTACGCGTCCGACGACTTGGCAGAGAAGTCTTTTCGCCAGATTGCTGGAAACTGTCGATACCCGCCATCCTATATGGTATGTATTCCGCGTTGTATACGAGTCGCCCTCATTAATTTCGCTTCGTGGGTTTCAGTCATTCAGAATAATCTGCAGTATGTTGCTGCCACCAATTTAGAAGCGGCAACTTTCCAAGTCAGTTATCAAATGAAAATACTTTCCACGGCGGCGTTTTCAGTCATACTCCTGCGAAAGCAGTTAAGCGCCAGCCAATGGCTAGCGCTGCTGTTCCTTGCTATCGGAGTCGGCGTGGTGCAGATACAGACTGGTGTGAGCGATACGAGCAAGGCATCCTCTCTGTTGTTCCATGAGACCTCGATGAACGCTCTGAAGGGGTTCCTCGCGGTGTTTGCCGCATGTTTCACATCCGGCCTCGCAGGTGTCTATTTCGAAATGGTTCTCAAAAATTCTCAGTCTGATCTTTGGATCCGCAACGTGCAACTCTCCGCATTCTCCCTCCTCCCAGCGCTTATTCCCATCATCCTCTCACGACCGTCTGAAACGGGATTCCTCAGTTCCTTGTTTGAGAACTTCGGAGCCTGGGCGTGGGCCACGGTTGCCATTCAAGTGATTGGTGGCCTGGTCACCGCCATGGTCATCAAGTATTCTGACAACATTCTCAAGGGCTTTGCCACAAGTTTGAGCATTGTGATCTCATTCCTGGCGTCAGTTGCACTCTTCGACTTCCAGATGACGTTCACATTCATCCTTGGCTCTGTCATCGTTCTTATCGCAACATGGCTGTACAACCAGCCCGGGCGGAACCCTAGCACCTCGAGACTGGTGTACGTGGGCAAGAACTGAGCGTCAAAAGATGATAGATAGTGCACATTGGGACATGCCACGTTTACGAGTTGGACACTTTCAGCCCGTTTATCGTCACTCCGGGAGTGCTCGGAACACTACTTATTTACACCGATAAGGACGGTCACTCTTGTTACATTTGGACATGCATATAGTTTGTTGGACGCTTAAGTTACGGTACACCTACTATTCCGTGCCCCCATCCTCACGTTGTCCTAATTTGATTACGTGACGATAGTCGGCCTACGATACACAATGTGATATACAATACAATCAATACTCCATGAAAGCTTTCTCGTAGTTTGTGTGATACTCTTGTTAGAGATCTCGAGAGCGATGCGAAGTATAATGTACAACACGGACAGGTCCGACAGATATGATGACAATATACGACCTCATGCTCTCTGCTCCAAGCCTCTCTTGAGAGCTGTGAAAGAAACTGTATCAGCGAAAGAAAGCTGTGGTCTCATATGGGTACCTACCGTCACAGGTATCTTTAGCATCACCAAACAGCATCTTCGTATTTGGCATATAGAACATAGGGTTCGGGACGTCAGCTGCAAAAACGTAAATAGACCGATTGGCAATGTGAGGTTTATCACGCACCGTATCCGCTGGACATTCCTCTCTTCATCACAATGACCTGTTTACTCTTCCATGCATGCAAAACAGGCATACCAGCAATCGGAGATCCAGGTTCAAGGGAAATGGGGTTTACAGTATCATTGGCACCGATGACGAGCGTCACATCAGTCTCACCGAAATCATCGTTGATCTCATCCATCTCCAAGACGATATCATAAGGCACAGATGCCTCGGCCAGCAAGACGTTGCACTGGCCGGGCATGCGACCAGCAACAGGGTGAATAGCAAAGCGCACTTTGATACCCTTCGCTCTCAGCATAGCACATATTTCGGCGATAGGATATTGAGCCTTAGCAACGGCCATGCCATACCCAACAACCTGGATCTAACTTAGGGGGTGCATCAAACTGGTTCAATGATCAAGGCTTACCAATATCACATTCTCGGAATTGGCAAGAGCCTCTACTGTATCGTCGATGTTCGTCTTCGTGATAGTGCCCTCAATTTGAGCGGTCTCACTCGGTGCAACAGTGCCAATGCCACCAAACAGAACGTTTATTATCGATCTGTTCATCGCCACGCACTGCGATATATTGTCTCAGCCACTCTAAATCTGGGAGGCCTATGGCACGCACCATGATGTATGATAGGATTGTACCACTGACGCCAATCAACGAACCCACTGTCGTAAGGAGGGGATTATCCAGCATGAAGCCTATCTAAAGGTCAAACACATGCTTAAAAGCTCGGCTCTGACGCTCACCTTCTGCAACCAGCGCGAACCCTGAATAAGCGTTTAAGACAGTGATAACAACAGCTTCAAACGGCATGTCAGAAACTGACTACAAATTCTCGAAATCGTACATACGCATGTCGGCACCACCAATAGCAGCAGTCGTCGTGAAGCCCTTGATGAAACTGAGAACCGTGCTAACTCCAAGATACCCCGCAGCAACCAAGGGTACTGTTGGCGCAGCCGTAACAAATGCAGCCATGGTCAACACATTCGCTCCGAGTAAACCAGAGTTAATGATGTGCTTTCCGGGCAACATCAACGGTCTCGAGCCCATTTTTCCAGCAAGCTTGAAGAACGCGACAATGGAGCCAGTGAAGGTAATACCACCAATGACAACTCCGAGATAGGCAGTGACCAGGTGTAGCGTAGAGAGATGAGACGGGTCAGCAAGGACACTGCCGATGGAGGTGAGGACGGCAGCAAGACCGACAACGGAGTGCAAAGCGGCTACCATCTGTGGAAGCTCGGTGGCCGTGATACGGCGACCAATGATGGTACCGATTGTACCTCCAATAGTAGCAACACCGGCAAACTGAGCAAGCAGGGCAGGGGGGAAGCCGACCGCCAGAAGTGAGGCAAGGATGCCAGATCCGACACCGAGTATTCCCAATGCATTCCCTTGTCGTGCAGTTGCCTGAGATGCCAACCCAGATAGAGAAGCTGTAGGCCATACATAGCCTATTAGGTTCATACTCCCTAAATAACAAAATGTGCTTACCAATACAAAGCATGCTGCTTGTCAAGTAACCTGCCTGTACAAGGCCGGCCATACCAGTGCTGGCAGCAGCCAAGAAACCACCAGTAAATACGACAGCTGGGATACCGTACAACCAAGAGTATTCAGGAGGATCCGTTGGTCCTGTTATGCCATGTTAAAAGGTAGCAGACAACATCAAGGCTCAACTCACTCTTGAACATGTCAAGCATCCGCTTTGTTATGACGAAACCACCGGCGACATTGACACTAGCGAGGAGTACGGAGAGAGCGCCCAATACCTGAGGAATGGTTTCTGGGAGATATCCTCCTCCCATGACGAACAGACCACCAACACCGACCATGCCTGGGTGACACTCAGTACAATTTCATACCCAAAGAAAAAGTAGATACCAGATATGGCATTGGTAACGGACATCAGGGGGGAGTGCAAAGCTGGAGCGACGCCCCAGACGACTCGATATCCAACGATACCCGCAAGGCCAAACGTGAAGAAGTTGCTCATGAAGGCGGCCCCAGTCACCTTGCCGAGAGCCACTACGGAACCCATTCCAGCTGTGACTATAGCTATCTCACGGGTAGCTTTTTGCCAGGGGGTGATAGCCAGAGTCTCAGCCTTCTCCTCAGCCTTGGGAGTGGGACGCGCTGCGGGAGGAGGAGCAGGTCGGGGCACAGGAGGGAGGATAGCACCTTGGTGGGCAACAATAGAACCACGAACGACTTCATCTGTAAGATCGATATTGAAAGCATTGTTCTCTCCTATGGACAACAAGAACTTGGTGATGTTGTTCGAATACAGAGTAGACGACTGCGTTGGAAGTCGTGAGGGAAGGTCAGTGTAACCTTTATCCTTTGAGATTTTATTTATCACGCAAAGCAGATGGCATACCTATGATCGTCACGCCGTTCTTCACTACTAGCTTTCCAGGAACTGTCGCTTCGCAATTACCACCAGCTTCGGCAGCCATCTAAGTATAACAGCTATCAATAGTGACATTTTAATTCTTTGCCAAAGGTGACTCACATCCACGATAACCGAACCCTGCTTCATAGCTGCAACCATCTAAGAAAATGGTTAGATACGTCATAAATCCTCTGGTGGATACTTGCATAATCGAGAATCAGTTTGGGTGCAGGTCTGCCAGGAATGAGGGCCTATAAACACTGGTTAGCAGAAGGGCCAAGAAAAGTTGCAATGACACACCGTAGTGATGACAATGTCGACCTCTTTGCACTGTTCCAAGAACAGCGCCATCTCAGCCTCAATGAACTCCTTGGACATTTCCTTCGCATAACCACCGGCGCCTCCGCCTTCTTCCTCGATGGAGACTTCCAAGAACTCTGCACCAAGAGACTGTACCTGTTCACGAGCTGCAGACCGTGTATCAAAACCCCGAACAATGGCACCAAGCCGACGGGCCTGGGGTAGTGGTATCATGAGCAAGGCATGACCACGAGCATCAGATTGTTCTTACAGTAGCGATGGCACTCAATCCAGCAACACCTGCACCGATGACGAGAACTTTACCAGGTGGAATCTAAGTTTGTATAAGACGGCGTTAAACACGTGTGCCACGGATGGCATACCTTCCTACAGGACGACGTTAGACATGGAAAGCAGAACAAACAATTGAGGCTGACCCAGCTGCGGTAACCTGACCCGTAAGATATCTTCCAAAATGATTAGAGGCCTCTAATACAGCCTTGTAGCCAGAAATATTTGCCATCGAGCTGTTAATACTGGTCAATGCCTGCTTCTCTATGCCTAGTCGTGATTGAGTCTGACCTCAGCGCATCAAACGTCTGAGCACGAGAAATACGGGGAATCATATCCATAGCAAATGCATTAACTTTACGTGAAGCCAGTGCATCTACCACGGCCTTGTTCTTTGCGGGGTATAGGAACGAAATGACTGTGCTTCCCTCCTTCATGCCCTTGGCCTCTTCAGCAACGGATGGCGCTTGTACTTTGAGCATGATATCCGTTCTATCGAAGAGCTCATCTCGAGATACGATAGCAGCTCCGGCTGCAACATATTCTTCATCCAGGAACTGAGCCTGTGCACCAGCGTTTTTCTCGACAAGAACATTAGCAAAACCTTTCTTCTTAAGGAGGGTGACGTTATGGGGCGTAAGAGAGACCCGTCGCTCATCCGGGAATATCTCTCGCGGCGCTCCGACTGTCAGAGACGTATAAGGGATACCTGGTGTCGAGACGTGTGAATGAGAGGCCTCATGTTGAGATGAAGGACAAGTACATACCAGAAACCTTTGGTGCCTCTGGAACGGCTTTGGCTTTGTTTGCGTTATTCGGTGACGAGTAAAATGAGCGAATCACTAGTACTGTAAGTAGGGATATGTGATTCATAGGCCAATCCGGACCCAAATATCATAACGTCACTAACCTGAAGTGAGTGATCGGAGGCTGCTGCGCTTTGAAGTGTAAAGTGGCCGACAGCCCAGCCTCGCTGCTGGCGGCCTGAAAGCCAGCATGGACATGGTCGGGGTTGACAGAAGTAGACGGTCTGAGCCAGATAGACGTATGTGTTATTGTTACATAAAGCACTCGTTAAATACATAGTTCATGATAACGGTGGTAAATAGGGATCATCATCGGAAAAACAAGGCCCGCGGCATCCTTGCTCACCCTGAACCTACTAAGCCGCGCGCTGGCCATCGATAAGTAACAGATGGGTAGGCTGGCTAGATATATATATCAAAGATATCGTGACGTCTGAGTTGATCATCGTCTCGACTTGAAAGCCGCCACGTACTACGCGTGGATATATGGCTTTTGCACAGAGCTCAGTGATACGGTCACGATCAAATTTCATATTGGTTCAGCTTTTCGTCTTACGGTAAAGGTTAACACGGGTCTGCAGCGTGCGTCGCACTGATAGTATTAGCAGGCGGGCCGCGGCCTCCGACTCTCACGGAAACGTCACGGGCGGTCCGACCAGCGCCAACACCCTCAAAGTAGACTTTGATCATGCACCCACGGAGTACTTGTTAAGTCACCATCGTTTCAAGGACAAAGAGCCGTTTGCCGCAATATTCCTGGGAGTCGAATCTTAATTGCATAGGTAGTATTATGGTGACATGAAATATATGTGCGTCATCGTATCATAGCGACCCCAGGCTTCCAGCACATACATCATACAGACAGGTGCTACCAGTGCGCTCAGTCCCCATTATCGCACCTTTCCGCCGACCTCCCCTTCAAGATGCACGAGGGCTTGCGTATGCGAATGCTCCCACAAGGCCTCGCCTGCCACAGGGTCAATGGGCGGCAAGGGCCTCCGGGGATGGCCACCGTAGCCGTATAATTTCTGGAGAAGGTATTTCGTTCCTGAAATTGACGCCTTGGCAATGGTAGCGTCTGCACGCCCGATAATGCCTTGCAGCCGCTGTGCCTCTGGAAGGAAGGAAGGGTCGACCATGGAGGCCTCGCTTAACTCAAAGAGTTTTACAATAGAATGCTTGAAAAACAAACGCAAATCAGGAAACATAAATTCCATCCGAATTTAGGCACGTACAGGAGCAACATTTGCAAGGCCAGTAATAGCACCATGCCCATTTGAATACGCTGATGGTAAAAGGAAGTCGCTGAATCCGCCAAGGACGAGGAAAGGCGCATTCTTGTTTGTCCGGGGGTTAAGAGCTGAAAACATCGGATCTGATACCGTAGCCGCCACACGGGTGAGCTTCCCGACATCTCCACAGCTGACCGAAACAGTCAGTACACGCTTTGCATATATGATTAATAAAGAACTCACGTGAGCTTGACACCACAGGTATTAGGGCACTCAATGGCGAGCTCACTGATGAGGTCAGAGTCTAGATTGATACCTCCACTGGCACCAGGGTCTAGGCCAATGATCAGGTACTCGTCGGCAAATATTTTCAAAAAAGACACCCACAATTGTAGATTATGACTGGTATAGGGCTCTTAGAGCTAACTTCTTGGAAGAAAGCTTTCAGTGCTTTCCTGTCGCCAGCAAGCGCACCAGCAAAGTAACCACTGGTGATAGCGATGGCATAGTCTGCCCCAGCTGCAGCGGCTTCATTCGCTAGCTCTATAGACTCGCGAGTGCTGCCGGCGCCGATGCCGGTTATGACCGGAACGTTTAATAATCCCGCATGGTCAAGTGCCTTCCTTGCAGTCTTGATCAATACCACTCGCTCTGCATGTGATAGATGGATGGCTTCGCCCATCGACCCAGCCAACAGGGGCCCCACTCCGGCAGTCGCGACACGGACGACATGGTTCTCAAAAGAGGGGATATCTAGATAACTGATCAGTACTGCGCTCTACGACTACGAGATGCTGTTGAGGCATGCAATGAGAGAGACTGACCAAGATCTTCGGACTCGGGAAGGAAGAACGATGGAATTGGTGCATAGATACCAGGTTTCAAAGGACGAATCGTTGAAACATGTGTACCATTACCGTTAAGACTCATGATGAAGAAGATATCCGTGAAGGAGACACAATAACTTGAGTTTCATAGGTAGGGGGGTATATAAGGACGGTGGAGATTCTCGTTATACGGCCCGAAGTCGGATCCGGCGGTCCGTTACGGGCCGTCACCGGGGTGCCCATTAGGCCACCACGCCAAGCTTGTCAAAGAACATCAAGAACTGCATAGAAAACACGATCGATGAGTCAATGTGATTGCACTGGCAGGCGACGGGGAGGTTGTCGCTTACCTACTTCTTATGCTTGTGGAGCATTATCGCCACCCAGGCGCCGCATTCAACTCTCCACCGTAACCGTTATATGAAAACCTGCATGTTATGAAGTTCAATTGAGTTGATATCCTTCTAGTGTCATATTGGTGAAAGAATTTTATAGCAAATTTGGTAAATGTGTCAGTCGAGAGACAACTTTGGGAGATAGTTCGCAGATTTTCGCCGGCAATCAAAGCCTCATGGACGCCTACAATTATCAAACCAATTCAATTTGGCGAATTAGCTTCACGCACAAAGTATCTTTGCACAGGAAATGTCACAGGTTTACCACTGCACGCCAGTATTCATGAAAGTCACCTGGGCCCACCTGTCAATCCAACAATTCGAGCGATCTCACATGTGACTGTATCTGATCCTCTGTTCTACTGCCAAGCACCTGCAAATGCACCTACGGGTAGAAACAAGGGTCAGAAGGTGCCCATCAGTTTGCAAGCATGGAATGTACTATTCCAGAGGTAAATGAAACAACGGAGATCATACTGACGGATTAATACGTCAAGAAAATCATGTATCAGGGCAAAGGAGCCAATTCCGCACCTCATTTTACGGAAGCGGCTTAACAGCGCTGCGAACAACGATAAACACTTCTCCCATTGAAATTAGCAAAATTATGACGCCTCCGAATCAAGATACGAACATGAGGTTCTTCAAAATTCCTGATCAAACTTTGAGTAGCGTGAGGGTGATAAGAACCACACACTAAGCATCGTACTGGGGTGCTCAAGCTACTCATTCGGATTGCAATGATCCCGCTCGCATGCCGCCCGGACCGTCCCTTAGCCTTCGTCTAATCACAAAGGAACAACTATCTCCCTTCGATTGGTCTGGCTAGGGGAGACTAGGCCACCGTCAAGCGCATAGAGCTATAAATGTACGATAAGCTGTCTGCCCAGATTTGACGTTGAAATTTACAGGCAATAAACCGCCCAATCAAACGGACCTAATAGTAATACAGAGAATGACATGGAGACAGCAAAAGGGCGTACTGTAATGTCAAGAAGTTTTTTGGGGCTTCGGACCTTCAACGATTTCCAGGTGATCGATGACTTCCCGCTCCCATTGTGTCCAGCCGTCTTCGCCTACATCGCCCTCGGATTCAGAAGCCCGCGAAAATACGTCCCAAGGAACACATCCTTTGTCTTCGGAATCGGTAGCTGGTTCGAGCGCAAAACGGCCTTGTCGAGAACGAGTTAAAGTTACAACGTGAGCAGCTGATCCGACCGCATGACCCAGATCATGCACGATTGAGCGTACGTATGTCCCACCGGAAACCTTCATACTGAGTACGAATGCCGTCGGAGACTCGTCACCCACCGCAGGCTCTAGTTCATCTTTGATAATAGGGTTTTCTTCGACTCCTTCTAAGGCCTTTTCCATTGCTTTTTTTTCATCAGATGTGAATTCCTTTTCTGGCCAACGGAATTGGTGGTCACTTCCTTTCCATTCGAGAATGTCTAAGGAGTGTATCGTGACTTTCCTCTTTTCGATAGGCCGAGGCAGGGGTATGCCTTTCCGAGCATAGTCGTACAGCGGTCTACCTTCCATCTTGAGCGCGGAGAAACTGACAAGGAAGATATGAAATCAGGAAGGTGCAGGGAAATTACAGGGAAATCACATATTTACATTGGGGGCGCTTGGTGTATTTCCCCTCTGAAGTTGCTCAATGCGGACTCCACAGCTTCTCGAGTGACATGTCTCCAGGGTGCAACACGCACTCGGCTACCTTCGCTATCGTATGTATCAGTTTCGCATCCCAAAAGCGCCGTCGTGCGGTATTCCTGATGAACCTTGGTGAACCCTTGAACTTAGATTCATCGATGATGCAGGAAGTACCTTTACACAATCCAAGAACTCGTTAAGATGTCTAGTCCCTTTTCCAATACCTACGACTGGATGAGACAGTCACAAGAATGAGATGACTCCAAGATCTACAGCAGACGCGACCATACCCAGAACGCCATCAGCAAGAGGATCGAGCGTCCCTCCTTGTCCTATCTTCACTATCCCTCGTGCCCGTTTCCCTCTAGTAGGGATTTTACCTTTACCGCGCGTTTCCAATTTGTCTGCATCCACAAACAAACGCGAGTTGCCAACCAATTGTTTGAGATCGTTGATGACAGACATCGATGTCGGTCCGGAAGGTTTCATGACGGCGAAAAGCCCAGACACAGGTAGCTGTGGCAACGTAACTTTTGGCATCTCGAAGTAGGAACCTTTACGGTCTTGCGTGTAGTCGGATGTAACTGACTCAGAGTGTGTAAGATCCCCGAGGAAATCTTGACTCTTTGTGGCACTTTGTTTGTACACACTAACTCAGGGCCCGGTCTAGATCTGACGGACCTTTGATCGATCAACGGTAGGCGAGGAAGCGAAAATTGGGTTTTACTAGAAGTTGCAACGTTGCACAACCAAGCCGTCAAAGCGGCCACAAAATTGCACCAATTACACCATTATTTCAGGGAAATACATATCAGGACTCGGTACAATAATGGTTAGAGGGAGATGCAACACGATAAGCAGTATCTAGGAAGCAGCACAGTACGGCGCAGTGTACCATGCGTGCTAAATATTTCCGTTCACCCAAGATCCCCCACAGATGCACCTCGCCGCCCACATCCTTTCCCAAATCTTCCATCTCGGAGATGAATGTCCCGCAACCATCACCTCACCTCCGACCTGTGAGCGTCCACCACACCTCAAACAAAGCAGTCCAGGTTTCTGTGTCAAAAGCCTTCCCTTTGTCACCACGTCCATCCCCGGATCGTCTCCCACAGGATGATCTGACACTGACAGATTCGCAAACCCGTCAACAAGATCGGACGACTTAATGAACAAACGAGGCCTGTCTATCGCGGATGATGTGGTAAGCGATCGGATGGTCTTCTTCAATTGCTCGTGTTGCGCGGGCACAGGATGTCCCTCAGCGAACGAAGCCATGACTTCTTCAACTGAATGAGGAGGTTAAGCTTTCAACGACAACTGCATACATAGGGAATTGTGATACACACCTGGAATTGCACTCGCTTCAGGGATCGCAGAACTGAGAATGTCTTCGAGGACTTTCAGGTCCAAGCCTGATGAATTGACGAGGTCCAGCATGGTATCCCTCGCGAACTGCGAGTTCTCCCGTTTTGCCGTCATCGAGGTCAAATATTGGTGAAAAGAGCTGACGTGAAAGACTACAGCCCTAAGATTTGAGAGAAAAAGTGGATGGACTAGATGGAGAAGTATCGGTGTGTCTAATGACACTGAATGAGGCGATTGGTTCGTCACTTGTTGGGAGGGAGACGTGAGCCAATTTCGTAGAAATGGGTTATCGTCCATGGGTTCCTGCTTCGGCATCACTTCGTTGGGGTTTAGACTTGTGTTTGGGGTTGGGTCGGTCAGGTCAGCCAGAAAGACGCATTCTTTCATAAGATCTTCCAAGAAAGCAACCACCCAAGTTGACAGGCTAATTAACTGCCAGACAGGCTCTTTTGAAATAATGAAAGCAACTACATTAAGTGCTTGCCCTAACGGCCGTGAAGACACAACAGACTCACCGAGGTCATATCCCTCTAACTCTTTGCAGTTTTCAAAAGCAGCGGAACAAGCAGAGACAGAACACACATTGAGAGCGTTTCGTGAGAGCATCAAATATCTCTCTTTCTCATCTTCGTTCTGCGTCCAACGTGCCCTCGCTCTGTTACACATCACATCAACATACATGCACCGGAAAGACGTGAAATTCATCACCTGTAGATCTCAACAGCAGCTCCCATCACGTCGACCATCGAAAACGAGTTCGCAGTGCCAAGACGGGCATTCACTTCGTAGGAAGTCAACGTACCAAATAGCGTATCATGCAGCATTGTGGCTGGAGTACTTGGCAGAGACAGAATGTGAGAGATATCTGCTGTCGATCTCCGAGATTGAAGTGCAACAGTCAGGGCTTGTGCGAGCGGCAACTGATGCAGGGTGTCTATAGTGCGTAAGCATCGACGCAGGTGGATGCTAACATTACCGACCTTTTGATCCTGAAGTGATCCGTGCCCTTGGAAGAATGTAAACTGAAGTCTGCAACATCGAAACTGCACAGGCGAGCAATTTGTTAGGCGATGTGAATATACTCAGAGGACCTGTCCCGGGAAAGTCAATCATTGCCCTGCAAGCGTGAAGATTGACTCACAATCACTGCTCGTTCTGTTAGCAGGTGCAAGAATACTTGGATGATCGCAATCGGGATCATCGGAGAGGTCTGGTCTGGTAACAATTGGAACAAAAGAATTAGAAGTAAAATGGATGGCTTACAGTTGCAAGGCAAAGAGATTGCCCACAGGGATTTCTTTTGGTTTGGCTGCGCCTCGGGCCAACACCCCCCCTGAATTGGTCATTGCAACAACTACTGTTGCCTTTCTCATCGCGACTGACAAAGAGCCAGGGGCAACAACTGTAAGAATGCGAGGAGAGAGAGACCGATCTCCCACAAGCCGTGCAGCCTACCCGTGGTTCAATCAGAAATTCGCTCACAATAAAGTAGTAGGGATGCTCACCCAAGGAATCTTGCTATTTGGAGGAACGACCCTGACTATTGAATATGCAACTATGCGGGACTTTGGCAGTGACGCGTCTTATAGTCAATCGATTATTGAGTAAAATGATTGCTCAAACAACATGAGTGACCCACATTCCTCGAAATCCAAGAATGATGCGACTAGATATGTCATAGGCAGTTCTAGCTGACCACGTTGGGGTTGCTTGTCCTTCGTCGGTGATGCTTTGGGCGACGTGGAAGTATCTGGTTTGGACCCAGGTACCGAGACGAACATGAAATTAGTCAGGCAAGGCGCAGGATGGTAAATAGGTGAGAGAGGCGCAGTGACGACGGCTAGATGAAGGTATTAGAAATCTGCGTTTCTACATTTTGGAGGACATACACATGCACAAGCCGTCAAAACGCAGTTTCACCTCACAAAGCTCGATCATTTGCTCCTCTTGGTAAGAATTCCAATCCAACAATGGTGGGCGCTCATCCAGTTGATTATCAAGAGAAAGTCCGAGATCATGGGAGTTATCCGATGCTGCTCTTAGGGTGTCTGATAACGGATGGCGTCGGGATCGCATGGCGACCATAAATACAGACTCTGCGAGACGCGTGCGATCTAAAACACACACGATCTCAGATGACTGTGACTGATGACCAAAAGTACAGGCTCACCGTGGAAAATGAAACCGAACGAAGCTGCACTGCAGAGCCTGGAAGTCTTGGGTCCACGGGGAGGATCATGAGCAACTTGGCTCATGTTCTCAGCAGTATAGCACGCCTGCACAAGGGGACATGTCAAAGATTTTACACCTGACGCATAAGTGCGCAAGAAGTAGACATTTAGTTGGTGAGCCTGGGTTACTGTGAGTAGGGTGGGGTTAGATACAGGGGTCAGAGGTCCGCATTGAGCCAAGCGAGTGGTGGAACCATCTGGGCATGTGACCCACTAACATGACTTTTAATGATTTGAATGACGAAGAAAATAGATGATGTCACCTCGCGTTCAGCGCTGACGAACATAGCGTTGACTATACCAGCGCCTCGTTCGCAAGCCCAGTAGTCTTTGATATTCCACTTGTCAATAGTGTATCCACGTTGCCACAGACACCCGACGCCGTCACAGTCGCGGCCTGGAAAGTATGCGAATAACCAAAGGTCATTGGATGAAACTGTGATAACATTTGGAGGTTCATAAGCAGCAGGATTGTTCAATATTTGATCCGGAGATACGATGAGAAACTGTTTTGAGGAAGAAAAAGATCTCCCGAGTATTAAGGGTTGAGAAGGGTGGGGAGTGAATATGGTTGATGTATTGGACCACGCGACGGGTCTTGAAGCAGAGACACCAATTAGATAAAAAGTTGTGAGTGAGATTATTGGAAGTGACCTTTGGATATTATCTGCTAGTGGATGAAAATCCCACCAGTGGGAGTGCCAGTTTTGTGCATCAGCTTGTTTAGCTTTTCCCTTGGAGGGAGAGTTTCGGGCGTCGGGGTACATTTCTCCTTGAAGAGAACATGCGTTGACGGAACAAATAGATGACAACGGGACTTAAGGACTTTGATCTCCGTACTGAACCGTCACATCTCCTCCACAACGATCATCATGCTCAGCATACATTCTACTTCAGTAGAGTTGGAGGGTGTACCTACAGAAATCATGGTACAAGGATTTGCGGATCGTATCCTCGTACTTGTTATGCAATTGGGCAAAGTTGGCAACTTGGTGAGGCACTTTTAGCATTTGCACTTGATTCAACTATTAACGAAGGGTGTAAAAGATTCAAGCATCCATCCCATCGACGACGCCACTATTATCGGCTGATCTCGATGAGGATTCAACTAATGGACTCCCTGCGCCCCCTGCGGCCATCCGACTCACACCACTACTTGGTGGCGCTTCCTCTGAACATCTGCAGACGCTGCATTCATTATATGCTGCACAAATCGCCACCATTATCTGGGTCGAAGAAGCAAAGAAGATGGCTGTGAACCGAAGAAGTGTTGTAGTTGGAATAGCGCTTCATAAAGATGCTGATGAAAGAAACACATTTCACGGTGTAATGAATCATCTTTACCGCCTAGTTAAATAAGATTTCCCATTTTTAGGATACACTAGGGTTAGGGTTAGAACTACTAAAAATCGAAAAAAAAGAATGGCCTGCTTAGCCAGAGTGGCCATAGCAGGACTGGAAAATATTGAGACGGTGCATGAGCCGGAGCCCATACAAACCGTAGTTACCCTCTGTATGGACAGGGTCGCCGTGCTATGAAGGGTCCCCACGGCCCACAAACCCAGGTACTTGAAGGAGCCTATGCCATCAAGGTAAGTATGAGTTGTTATAGTGTCAACACCCTGCTTATATACACAACAAAAAAGCGCACGGACCATCAGTTACACACTTTCCATTTATGGAATGCAAGCAACAAGCTAAAACTTATTGCAAGCCAGCACAGAGCTTGTTCTGCTGCAAGATGTCCCGAATATTTCGTCGGTCCCTCAGTTCCTTCAAAAGAGCTCCTCAAGCATTCCCAATTGCTGAGGATAGCGCACAATTTGCTGCTCACTTAAATAACATTCTCCCCTCCCTCCATTTTCCTCCCGAGCTTGCACAACGTATCCTCACCCATGGAAGTCACAAGGCAGCTATTCACGGTCATAATGGACGGCTCAGCTTCGTAGGAAAGACTTTGGCCACATCTGTCGTATATATTGAGTACTTAATTGTTTTTTTACAGGACGTCGCGTGCTCGAGTCTTATTATCTGCTCTTCCTACATTCCGTCGCGCGAAACCAAAATCAGCACGACTATGAGTATCTCTCTTCTCGTGCTCTAAACACCTACCTTCTGGGTGAACACGTTGCTCCTCGGTGGTCCTTGGGTCGTGTTCTGCGATGGACTCCTACTGTCTCTCAAGATGTTCTACTGGCCCACAAAAATGTAAAAAAATCATCTGCAAAACAGCCCGCAGATGTTGAGCTAGAAAACGCATTGACGAGAAATCCTGGTATAGTCAGAAGTGTCGGTCTTTACAAAGTCATGGGAGAAGCTGTACAGTCCGTGATGGGTGGTGTCTACCATCAATTCGTACGTCCCTTCACGCTGTATCACATTACAATTCTGAAGTCTTGCGATCATTGGTCACGCGTCCATTTTGCAGGGTGGTTCTGTGGCTCATCGCTTGTTTCACACTCGTATTCTACCCCATATTCTGTTACCAGACAAGGCTGAGGGTGTGCCTGTGGAATTCCATCACCAGGCACTGACAATTTGTGAACGCATGGGTGGCGTGGACGGGAACTTGTTGGTTCAGGAGCTTGCCTCAAATCGTGCTCTTTCGGAACTTGAGCTCGAGGCTGTAGAGACAGTTCAGCCAAAAAGAGTTGCGTGAGTGTGTTCTTGGTAGACCTTTTGCTCTGTTTGATTATCTTTCCGCAGTACTGCTAGCGCATGAGTGCACATGACTCTTATTTTCTATCGTGTTTATTCTATGGATCGCATTAATTGCAACAACATTTTAGTAGTCTTGCTGGCGTGTCACTCGAGAGCAAGACATTATGACAGTGCCGCCTATAGGACAATCAACTCTACCGATGCGCAGGCGTAACGCAAGGACAGAGCAACAATTGTACCTGAGGTATAGGCATTTCATTGATGGCTAGCCATTCAGACACTATAATGCACATGGTCGAATAGATAGCTAACAGATCAGTATCCGTTTTCTACTGCAATGAAAGTACGTTTAATAGCAGAGTCGCTTCTTCTAACACCGGTGCTCTCAGTAATATGCGACATCGCCCCAGCATCATGGTTCTGGGAGAAGCCTGCAGATGAACGAACATCACACATCTGGTTGATATCCTGGCACCTCCGCAGCTCCTTCAGAAAAGGTCACCGTGATCATCACACCTGCTATATTCCTTCATTATGTGCACACTACCCGCTCGAAAGCACACGCGTCTCGTGTTGTGAATTCTGCAACCAGGCATCTTCTAGTCGACTTGTCTTTCATCTTTTGCCATCCTTTGTAATGCGCCCCGCGTTGCCTTGCCGGACGCTCCTCATACTGCCGGTGAACGTTTGAACATCGATTGGCTAGTTGGTTTTCTACGGCTCGGAAAATTTTGCACAAATGAAAGTACATCCTTCGTCGGCCACATCAACGAACGCTTCTAACAGCGTTGCGAGAATGGTCATTGAGTTTGCCAAAGACCTCGCTGCAGTGCACTTGAGAAAGTAGCGGTCATGGATATCGCATGAAGGGTGCCTGCTTCCATGGGCCATACCAAAATCAAAATACTGCGTATCCTCGAATGCAAGTCATCGTGTCTCTATCCAAAAATACCACAAGCGGGCCAAAGCACCCCCCAGGGCGGTTCTACGTATAGCGATCATGATGCAGATAGACCAGCCAATAGGACCCAGTATCACCAATAACTCGATTGCGACGGCCTCGAGTAGTATCTGCCACTTACACGTCTATGGTGGCGTCTTGAGCCTCTTGATCAAAGACCTTCCAAGCAGAGATTGTTTAAACGATTCAAGTCCATTGAAATAATAATGAAAAAGAGTCGTAAATATCTGAACGACATACTTTGCAGAAATAATATGTTTTCCGCTGATCGAAATCGATCGCGTCCGCGACAGACATACTTCCCAAGAATCCCGAATCTCCGAGTCCAACTTAGTCCGACACGTAGCGCATTTTGATCCTCTCCTCAAAGTTGTCCAGAAACCCAAATTTGATTAGCACTGCCTAGTGACCAGGGTTACTTAGCCAACTTGAAGTTGATCCAAAATCATTTCATTATGATGCTCATGACTCCTCAAGACTCAGATGAATGATTGTATTGCCGCAGATCTCACGATGGCTGCGTGAGCTAATATTCCGCCAGGGCTGTCCGTAGCAGTACATAGAACCGTAGATAGTTATGAGCGTCGAACTGCCTTTGGGATGCAGCATGAGGTCTTCTGATGAACTTACTACTGTAGTGGTGGGAACTGGGGTCTCCATCATCCTAGATACAACATTCCAGTTCAATATTGTAGTCTTTTCAAATGTACATGTCTGTCGTATCAGAACATGCCATGAACGACTGCTCGTGGAATCGGCGATGTAGCGCTTGTAAACTCTGAATTTGGAACACGCTATACCCATTCGATAATTAAATTGTACGTAAGTGCCGCTCAGGCTGATTGGATCAATCGGTCGCGCCCACCACTGCTCTTCAAATTACCATTGCCATTCATCATGATCAACTCAAGTCGAAGCCATTCTCTCCGTCATGTTCTTTTACTCAAGCTCAAGGCCGTATAGACCATTGAGTCTGACACCACATGAAGTCGTTGACTCTGAGAGCGATGACGACCACAAAGCAAAGCTGCATAAGACTTCGCGAACTGTACTCCATTGGCCTCTCGTCGTTGTAATCTTCTGCACGTTCATCAACCTGTTGCTGGTCTCTACCCCTACCTTTCTCCAAATTTCTTCAGTATCTTCAGACAAACTTATCACTCGAAAAAATGTTCACCTTCTCCGTCGTCCCTCTCAATATATGCGGTTCGACGACATCGCACGGACGTCGCCTTCTATTCCGAGAGAGTTCACAAATTTCCCCATGTCTGTCAGTTTGGTGGATCGCTCTGCACCAAATCATGTTTTCAATGACTATCTTGCGATGCGCACGACACGTGCTGGCACAATCTCACCTAATGACCGCAAAGTACACGTCACACAGACTGTCAGTTTATCTTCCATTTTTTCTGTGTTTAATAGACTGATGGAAAAGAAGGTTTCAACAATATTTCAATTCAGAGCGATTGACTGGGGCATGGAAAATTGCGAATTGCACGTCGCCATTCCGCCTGTGGACCGACCGACTACACTTGCTTTATACCGCCTCAATGCCACTGTACCACTTGATATTTCAACGTTATCTTTTAACGTCCGACCGCCACGGGTCGCGAAACTCAATAACATAGTGCCAGGGCAGGACAGCTTAGATTGGCACAGAAAACTTTCTTGTGCTTTGGACGACGTCCTTGTTTTTGAGTTAGCATGTTCGGATGACGAACCAAGCGGTAGCTGCGATATGGAATGGTGGCAGGCTCGCGAGGAGACTGCACCAGGTTAGTGCTCTACCACTCTCTATGAAATTCGCTGACAGCATGATTTAAACCTCTAGCTGTCTACATGATCCAGCGTTCCACTGTGTAACTTAATTTTCCTTGAATTTTCGTCATCGAGACGAAAAGTTTGGTTCATTTAACAGGTTTAGTTATCTGATTACAATCTTATGGAATCACACTTGCCATCAGCCACCTTACTCGTGTACTTGCGAATGTGGTCCAGTCCCACAATCCAGACCACTTTCAAAGTTAGTGTGTAGTATTGAAACTTCGTCACGGCACATAGCAGCAGCTGGATTTTTGCCTGACTTCGACACTTTCAGTTTCAACTACATATCTCACTCAATTCTACTTCCAACGTGGTCGTTGAACCTCGTAATGAGTACTATGAGAGAGAATGATATATCCCACATTTTGTGTTTAAGTAGCTGGAAATACGAATTTTATGAAAGTATGGGGTGCTAATTGCACCGGAAGGGATCCATGTTAATAGCTAATGTGCCTCTGGCTTCGTGCACATAAATAAATTATCCACCAATGATCAGGTACGATCGATAGATTTGCAAAGATCTAAATGGCTTTATGCGAGCATCAAAATGGTGGGGCCATTTTCCAAACTACTGCACATGGGCGCTATGACCCAAGCTATTCCACACCGCCCTCTTGATCGGCAAGCATCGCGTCTTGCGGAGATTATCATTTTCCGCACTGAAAGCAGAGAGAAATGCTGTGAACAAATGCTCCTGGGAAATATCATATCTGCATAGTCTGAACCCCAAAAGCTAGAGCACCGTTACTTGCTGTTAGCTACCGTCAGGTAGTGCACACCTATGTACTGGTTTAGTCGTAGTAAGTCGGCTCCGGTCACGATGCATCTGCTATCCATGCGGTCACCATCAGAGCATTCGGGTGAGATGCAATCAATCGAGACACATCTATAGATTATTTTGACCAAGTCAATTGGATAATGCTAGAGTGTGCACGATGGCTGTTTGTTATGCTTCATTACACTGTGTACCCATGAACTGGTATTTAAAGGGTGTAACTCCCAATCTTACTTTAAAACAACGCATCCTAAACACTACACCTCAGTGAAGAATATCATTAAGATGACCATGCTTAACATCAACAAGCTTAGTATCTATGTTGTACTCCTGTCAGTAGCCTTCGCACAGATCCTCGTGGTCAGTGCTGCCAGTATTGCCGGTGCAGAGCACCGTGACGTGGGTTCCGACGATTCAGTGGATGGCATTAGTGAGTGTAATCCAGATGATTTTGTGGGGCAGGACTTACGAGCTTCTAGCAATACACTATCCTTACTGAAACCCAAATACAGCTGGAGGGTTGAAAGTTGACGCAAAGGAGGACAGATCAGCACATGTGCACATTGCAGGTGACATCCGGGGGGGAGGGGTTTATATTGAATGTACTATATGTTTCTCGAGATCTCCTGTTATTTTGTTCACTACCCATGTACAGTGATTCTGATCGGTCCACTCAGCGGTACCATTTTGGTGTTTACATGATCTTGTAGGGCTTAATTTGTCGGAGAAAGAAGTTGGTCTCGTAGTCATTGTCGCTGTTGCTTCGAGAGTCCGCTGACGATAATTTCGTGAACCGGGGATCAACAAAGTGCGACACGCACGTTCCTCATCTCAACGATGAAGAAGTAGCAGAAGACAGCTTCGAAACAAAGCTAGAAAATATACACCAGCTGAGATGATCATCGAATGAATAAAAAAATGCCACCGCCCTGGTCTCCCTAACCTAAGCCAACCCTGTAGTGGGGAGCGCCAGGAGTACCTGGCCCGTAGTCGGTAGTAGTCTCGCGCAGCGTTGTCGTCGGTTCTCGATAGATAGAGCCGTAGCCTCCCGCTATAGAGGTTTGGCCTGCAGTCCGTACCCGTTCCAACCCTCTATGTCATTCCTTTTAATAAATTCTCCACCCATGGATGTGACTTACTATATAGACATATGTGCGTGCCACGCAGCCGCGGGCTTCAGTCGTCTTGTGTTTCCGAGTCAACCTGTACTTGAATCGAATCGTAAAAAAACCATTGCGATTGTAATTATCAGATAAAAGAAACGGAGCATATTCACTCGCATTGCGCTGGCAAGCTGCTAAGTTGTCGACATGTCAACGTTTCAACACCAGAGCCGGTACATGAAAGATACAGGCAACTTACATTTGGCACAGCCACTCTGACTACGAATCTCAGACCTGGCATGACTAATCATTTGTGCGTCGAGCATGCCAACACCCGTCTTACTGTCTCGGTAAGTACAACCCTTGCTATTCGAAAAGCTAGCGCTTATAATAACTAGTGGACTTGACCCGGTGTTAGGCATTTTCACAGGTTTCTTTGCCTATTACCTTCACGAGACACATCCACGCACCGCACCCCCTCCGGACAAGCGACTTGCGGCTCTCGTGCAGTGGAAATGGGCAAAATGGAAGCGTGAGAGGGAGGAAAAGCTGAATGCGCTCGAGAGAGGGGCAGAAGAATCCTCTAGAGTAGCCAGTTGACAGCTCAGCTCAGTTAAGGTGCATGCCTGGGATTCATGCACTAATAGCCGTTGGTATGTAGCAGTCAATGTTGGGATTCTTTGAGCTCAATTATGTGTGCAGCGGTGGATACTATCTGCTACTGTCAAACACGCGCTGCTCGCAGTCTTTTATTACAACAGAACCAGAGTCCAGATATTATTTCGGCTTGAAAATGTTTGGTAAAGTGTTTGCAGCTGAGAATATGACCTGTGCTATAAATGATTGATTGATCATACGCATGAATAGGCTGCATCAATGCCATGATATAGCCGTGCCCCTGTAGCCGTTACTCGGAAAAGCAAGGAGCCGCTGCTGCACGTCACCCAGGACAAGGCCGTGCACGGTTTGATCCGGTCAGAATCGTGGTGAAGTTACAGACGCTCTGCAAAACCGCTTTTGAAGCGGGTTATTGCTAAGCGCGGAGGGGTACCTGCTACATCGACCAGAACAACAATGTTGAACTCCAAAAATCAGTGAACTTCATGTTCGTCTGGTATCGCCTCTCAGTACTTGCCATCGCCAACTTATCGGATGTTCTACCTTCGTCGAAGTCTGTCGCACCCGCAAATAGCACTTGGAATACGCGAGGATGGACTGTCCAAGAATTCCTCGCTCCTAATATCGTTCTTTCCTACCAAGCAGAATGGACCCTGTATATCGACGATCGCTCAAGCAGCCACAAGGAATCATTCGCTACCATGCAGGTGTTGGAACGTTCAATAAGCATAAATAAACAGATGCTCATAGGAAGGCCCACTTGGTTGACATTCTTGCTAATTCGTCCATGGAATCGTCAGGAATTGCCTCTGATCATAATATTATGGCGCAGGTCAAGGATATGGCTTCTGTTCATGATAGGATGGTCATCAGGACGCTGGAAATAATGCAATTGCATAGATTTCGGAGAAAGGGAGTCTCTGACGCGTTCTCATTGATACCTGCATGGGGCATACGCCTATAAATTCGTGAAATGAAATCGTGTCTATCATGATGTCTCACGGAATAGAATTTACCCTACTCTCAGATAGCTAGCTAGGCACATGTGTCGAAAATAACGCAGGAACAGCTAACAAGTACTGGCAGTATACGACTAGCTATATACAGCTATAGTACTTTCAGTACTCGTGTAAGATACTCGCTTTGTGTAAAAAAAAATAGACTCCGCGGGTAGCACGGGGCTCCGCTACGAGTGTGCCCAGTCTGCTTCATTTGGGTATGGAGAACCAAGTCATTGTAGACCCCAGACTTGATAAATGTGTCTCGTAGGGATGTCCGACAACGAGATCGTTAGTAGTAGAGACCGCATCCAATGAGCAATGCGTGATCAAACTTTGTAGAGTTACCGCTTCGGGTCGCGGCGGAACGCTTGGCGAGAAAGTTTCAAAGGACTAAAAATTCGCGTGGTCACCACACCCAACTCGAAGCTTCTTTTACTGCTTCGTTGGACCCTTCCACAAACCTCTTCAGTTTAGTTAGATTCTCTCATCGAATATGTCAGAAGCTGCACTCGAACGTCAGATTCGTCCCATCTATGGTTAGCTATCGTTAACGTATGTGCAAGTCGGAACTGACCCGTGATAGATGCTTTGGACCATGGATCAAACAAGTCTGCTATTAATGCATGCAATAAAGTGCTCAAAAAGTATAATACTAATACTCTTGTCAAAGTATGTGCGTTAGTATCTCTGTGTAGGCTGTTTAATGTTTCATCCGTGTAGGCTCTGAAAGCACTTGCATTGACGCGTTCGCAGAAAGTAGAGGAAGCGTTGGTATTATGCGATGAGATCCTTGCTACCGTTGTTACGGATGATTCCACACTATCCGTTATGACGCACGTCCTCAAGGGCCTTGCTAGAAGTACGTCGTAGTCCCCAGTTCCTCATTGCTCGTATTGAACCCATCTTGTAACACCAGACTCCGACATGGTAGCCATGTTTGATAACGCATTCAAGCAGCAACCTCAGAGCGAGGAACTCGGTGCACAGACGTTCTTCGCTCATGTGCGAACTGGCAACTGGAAATCTTGTCAACAAGTGAGTATTTCCACCTGTTCCTTTCTTTGTACACAAGTCGAATCATGTGGTCTTTAAGGTTGCAACCCGAATGCACAAGCAGTTCCAAGAGGACCGGTACGTATACTGGGCCGTGACAGGCGCAATTCTCCAGGTTTGTGCATCGCGTTGTGTTGCGAATAACACACTCTAATTGTGAGGAATAGGCGAATGACCTTGGCACTCCTCCAAACATTCGCACACTGCTCTACAAATTGGCTCACCGTCATGTCACATCATGTCCTACGCCATCATATATGGCTGTGGACCGCTTTCACTTGCATCTGATCATTCTGCAAGAACTCCAATTATGGGACGAAGCAAACACCTTGCTAGAAAGTGATGTCGGGAAGTCGATCTGTTCAGCCAGTCTTGTGTGTAATGAGACTCGCAGGGAAATCTGGCGCAAACGTGGTCTGTACAAGGACGAGGGGGAACGAGCTCAAGAGAAGATCAAAAACAAGTGAGCGGGCATTAAGGGTTACTTCTGATGTAATCTGATGTGCATTTCAGTGACCGGAATTGGCTGGAGTTCGTTTCAGTAATCGATGCCGCTTTTGCTTCAGTGCAAGGGCCCGATGTTAGCGAAGAGGGAAAGTCAGAGTGCTTCGAGAACATTGCGAAAACACGCGATTTCCTTACCAAAATCGCCGAGGTAGATGGCACAAATAACCGTTCTGCTTCCTTGGCATTTTTGGAGCTCGAGAAAAATGCGGTTTCACATGGAATATCCTCTGGTATGATCCTTGCCTTGGAACCTCATGCACTGATTTTAGATCTTGACAGATGAGAACACCCTGGTTGACTCGATGGAGAACTACTTCTCCCAGTTTGGCAATAAGGCGTGTTGTTTCGAAGATTTGCAGCCTTGTGTAGAACTTGGTGCCGACGCCAAATCACGATGGATAAGCTTCTTGGCATCTCAAGAATCCTCCTTTGTTAGTACTTCCTTCCTATCTGGGCTTTTCCGTGTCCTAAGCTCGTTTGGTAATGAAGGCTACTACGGGGGATCTGCAACGGGTGATAAACGTTCGGAAGTTACAACGAATCAGTCTTACGGCTTCAGAACTATCCACAGATAAAGAGCTGTATCTGGCATCCACCTATATCAAAGAGTACATGGCTGGACTAGAATTGGGTTCTAGTTTGCCTGTAACCGAACTCCAGCCGGCCGATGATCTAGCGATCCTCGTCGGCCATGCGTTTGTTAGCCTGTGGACAATGACCAAGGACGAGAGCTATCTATACAACGCCGCCGTTGTGCTGGAGTTCGCTTTGGCCAAGAGTCGCATGTCATTCCAGATTCGGTTGCTACTTGTACGCATATACCGTTTACTTGGTATGTGTTCCTATGGATCACCCAAGGTCTTATACCGATGATTTTACAGGTGCCTCATCACTGGCTCTGGACCACTACCGTGCCATCAATATAAAACAAGTCCAAAATGATACTCTTTCCCACTTTATTCTCACACGCGCATCGACTTTCTCCCTTTCTGCAACTGGAGACCTGACATACCCCTCAGAATGTATAGAATCAAGCCAGATCTATGTTAGTAATTCCCAAGATGTGAGTATTCTTCCTGTATGTTAGCCTCCCTCTTATTGTTCATAGACACCGGATTTCATCATTCGTGCATTCACATCGGAGAAGTACAGTCAGGTTAGATTTTTTACACTCTCGTGCTTTCAGGATGGTTACGCCCCACAGATTCCAGAGTTTGTCTCTTTTGACGACAGGTTGGAGAACTCTCTCCAACGTGACGTCGTTAAGCTTGAGCACGTTCGCATGCGGATGACGCACGAACCTATCAACTCTGATCTGATAGACATGGAATTAATAGAGCTGAAGTTTGTCTTTGATCGCTGTAAGGGCCTCCAGTATCGTACATATACGATTTTGACTCCTGTTCGCAGTTCATCATGACAACCGGGACTTCGGCATGCTACCCAATTATCAACCAGCATGTCAGCCTTCGCTGAACGATCAGACCCTGATGTTTGGCAACTCGACTGGAGTATGCTGTTCATCTATGTCGACACTTGCATTTGTTGACTCCTTCTCAAATAGCAAGGATGGCTGTGGTATTTCATCAAAATTTACATCCGTGCTTTCCAGCATGCCAGTGATCTGGACGATATCGTCGAGGAGAAGCTACTAATTGGTGACCGGCCAAAGAAGAGCCCAGAACCAGAAGTCCAACTTCCTCTCAGGGAACGTCTAGCCATCCGAAAACCTGAAGAAGCAGCAGAAGTAAGATATTATGGTCGAGTTATGATTCACTCTCACAATTCGTTAGTTGACGCCTGATGAATTGCAACTCATGGAATGGGCCACTGCTGTCAGTGACTGGCTCGAGCCCTACCACAACTACACTCGCCCGCCTCCAGCGGTGGTTCTTGCTGAGGCCAACAAGCAGAATGAACTTAGGACTGGGCTTCCGCTCAGGGGTGTTGACCTCAAGGCTCTCAATGGCGACGCCCACGCCAATGGTCATGCAAAGAAGGATGAAGAGGCTCCTCCTGTGAAAGAACCGCCTCAATTGGTGGCACAGTTCTTCGAGCGTACGTTCAGTTTTTCTAGGCTGGCTCGCAGCTCACTCGTTTCACAGATATGCATGCTCGCTTCGTGCAGTTACAGCAGAACCAGTGCCTCCCTTCAGACCTACTACATGTAGCAACACTCACCCAAGAGGTACACTTTCATTCGGATTCTAGTCTACGCTTTGCTCACTTCAAGTATAGGCTTTCCTTCTCTTTGCGGTGGAATCTCATCGCTTCAAGACCGCATCTGTTGTCAAGATTCACAAATTGGGGGCAGTGAGTGGGATGATAGGCTTTAATAAAAAGACACGTCTAAACCCATTTCCTTACATTCAGCTCGTGCAATTCCTCAAGGATGTTCGCTCGAAGGCCTACACGGTACTCAAGACAATGTCGAATGATCTTTTAAAGATGAGCGAGGTGGCCGGGTCGGCTGAACAACGGAAGAGCTTCGTCGAGTCTTGTAAACCCATCACGGAATTACCGAGGGTAGGCATGCGTTTTCGATTATCAGATCATGCTCTAACATTATTCATTAGTTGCATCATGACTTTGTACTCAGTGTTGCAAAGAACGTTGGGGAGTCGCGTAAAAAGGTACTCGAGGGCGTTAGCAAAGGAATGGTCAAGATTTGCACCAATTATGGCCAGTGAGGCGGTCCTCTATTTTAGATACTGACATTGCACATTACTTTACACCTACACTGCTCCCCACTCACTACTCATGTTACTGCACACTACGTACTTAGGTTTGTCGGATGTAATTGTGACATCTTGAATTATGTCATGCAATACGCGTGACTTGTGACTCTACGCGTTTCTCCTCGTCTCGTGTCTTGCTCACTGCGCCATCACAATAAATTCACTCACTAAAAAGAACGTCGACGAGATGAGTCAATGTAAGCAGTCATACTATCTCTGAAACCTCACTAATTATACTGAGAAGTTAACGACTACTATGCAAACACTGGTGCTGGAGGTGGTGGATTCATGACTGGTGGATCGCCATATGGAAGCGCAAGCGGTAGCCCGGGAGGAGCTAGTCGAGTACGTTGCATATACCCATTCCGACTCTCTACTAAACTGAGTGCAATACAGAAAAGCGAGATAGCCCACTCCTTACGACCACTGACTGTACTCCAGCTCCTAAATGCAACCCAAGCACATTCGGACGCGGAGTGGATGCTGGATGATACAGAACTCGGCCAGGTAAGTTGTATTCATCTTCGCGTAGCTAGCTGGATGAACCGTGCATTTGCAGGTCACCGTCGTCGGCCACGTCGTTTCAATACAAAGTCAAGCCACCAATAACTTATACTGGCTCGACGATGGCACGGGTCGCATCGAAGCCCGACATTGGATTGACTCCTCAATAGAAGAGAGTGAACCGGGATCAAGTGCCATCACGTAAATTTTCTCCTTCACATGTCGCAGTAAAACTAATGCGAGGACAGTGAGGGATCGTACATACGCGTATCCGGCACGTTGAAAATGTTTGGCAGCAAACGATACGTAAATGCGACTCACATACGGCCAGTCAAGTCGCCTCATGAAATATACTTCCACCTTTTGGAAGCGATGACGGTCACACTAATATGGGCGAAAGGAGCGGTACGTTACACCGAATTACGACATCACTGACCTAATCTTCATGAGCAGCCCCCTCGTGCTGGACAAAATCCATCAACAACAATTCCACAGGCCCAGGTTGCCGGACCCCCGGCAGTCGGAGGTTCTGCATACACAGCTCAGTCGCATCCTCCGGCTACGACCAACAACCAGTACTCCCATTTGCCGACGTTGGAATATACGATCATAACTTTCATGCTGAGCCAACCTTCTAAAGAGGAAGGCGTGCACGTCCGTTCTATTGCGCGTGCTGTCGGAGGTAATGCTGCCGCAATTAGGTATGTTGTCTCATAAGGCATGCTCAGCTCCGCTAGTCTGACGCAATCCCCAGTGATGCCTTAGATAAACTCATGGATGACGGTCTCGTCTTTACTACTATTGACGATTCGCACTTCAAGGTTGCTGATTGATGAACTCTCTATGGACATATATTTTTGATGATGAAAGTTACTTGCGAGTACTTAGGTAGTATTGAAACTGCCGAGATTCTTGTTGAATCCTGATTGATTTAGTCGTCGGCTCGTTTCTGCGAGATTTCTAAGTATCTGTATCAGTAGTTATCTCAAAACGGAATATTGTAAACATTGTTACACAGGGTCTTCAAGCTTCGAGCTTCATCGAACTTCAGGCTTAGGCAGTACTAGTAAGCTGGAAACGCTTTCGACACGTCTCTGTTGTGCTCACAACGATGGAAGACTACGAACCTTTGCTAGTGGAAACAACAGTCATCAAGTCATCCGAAAGTGAATCAATCAGACCGATCACGGTCTACCAAGCGCTGCAGGCGGAACGCTTACCCAACGATGTTCAGTTCTCGCTTGGTGGGGCAAAATTTGATAAGGTGAGTCACTTCTATTTAATGTTTCTGAAAGATCAAACATACTCAGCGTAATCCAAATCCCTGAAGGTCCTGCTGGTCACCCATGCCATGTTACGAGATACCAGTGATGCTCGAGGTACTTATGACCTCGATGATGGTACTGGGATGATATCTGGGTCATGGGTTAACAAAGCAGGACTGGATCATGCTATGTTCTCGGCCATGATACATCGATTGTGCGTCGTGGTTTCAAGTTACAACACAATTCGATTTTCTAATCTTATCATCATTCATCAAGTGACAACAGTCTGGCTTGTGTCATGGGCAACATTGTCCAGCGTGGCCAGCATAAAGTGGTCCATATTGAGTCCATGGTTGGGGCAGGGTATCACCAGGCTATGTATCATGCTCTCGATTGCATGAGGACAAGTTTGATGATTGAGAGGCACAAAGGACAAGTATGTGCATATTCCAGATTCATGATTGACACATGTATTCCAACTTCGTGCAGGCTCACAATACAGACGAGATGCTTGTCGTCCAAGAACTCAAAGAGGATGTGGAAGACTCGATAGCAGCCGACTCACGGGCATTCGAACAATCTTATCGTTCATTTTCATTTTTCGACTTGCCCCACAATGATGAAGGTAGAAATGTCAGCTCTCCTCAGACTCTTGCTAGGCCGTTTCTGCAGTATGGCGATCATAGTGAAGGTCTGAGTTCCGCGTCAACTTCAAAGCAAACTGCATCCCAACTTCCTGCACTACCTCTCGCACTTAAGCGTGAACCACCTCATTCTGCCATTGTTCGTGTGGCCCATCCTTGCACAGTCACGCGAACACCGAGCCCCCCTTCTTCCCTTGGCTCATCGCTCCAAATCAGTTCTCATTATACTCCACAATATTACAGCCAGCTAGCTCAATTGACAGCAACACAACTCGCTATCGTGTCCATCCTCAATCAGCCCAAGGCTGATGAAATGTATGGGATTCAGATACCCGATGTGTACGAATGCGTGAGACAGAATACCACTGAGGAAGAATTCAGGTAAATGGATCGCGTTCATCATCGTAATGGTCCATGGTTTATTTTGTTGCGGCCAGCACCGACATAGAGTGGCTTCTTGAAGAAATATACATATTCAGCCCACTCGATGATGATCGCATTGCGCTCACGCCTCGTGCATCAGTTTAGTTTCACCATTTGTACAAATCAGTGAGTCTCACTTGAAGCAATGGAGCTCTCCTTGGGGCAATGTGCTCATGAGTATCCGTCAAGCCTCATCTAAAATTATTCAGGAATGAGACATTGGGAACCCTGGTATTCAAGTTGTGTAGTTGTGAAGTTTGTGCAAAGTCTACTTTGATTTAGATAGATTGTTTTTGGTACGCGCTTGGACGGAAAAGGCAACTCCGAAGCACCGGTGTAGTACTTTCAGCTATACCCCTGCACCCCCGGCGCTGCGTGTGCCCATCTGGCTCAATACGTACTTCTACAATATCATGCAAAGTACTAGGTCATGAATCAACCTCTATCTTGAACTCACCTTCAAGTGACTCCCAATTATCATGTCTACTTGGTATCCTTCCTGGTTCCCCGGACTTCCGTCGTTCGACTTCTCCTTACCCTCTGCAATTCAGCGTCGGTTTCTTTCCTTCGTGCTCAAGAAGTCACTCGGACATCTCCTAAAGCCAGGGCAGCTCGATCTTCATCAGATAGATTCACAGATAGGCTCTGGAGTTGTACAAGTAAGGGATCTTGAACTTGATGACCAGGTTCGGCTTTTATCTCTTTGTCTAACTGTCCATTCATTGACTACTGCAAAGGCGATAAATAAACTTCTTTCCGGATCACCCTTCAGGCTCTATGATGGCTCCATATCTTGTGTCACTGCACAAATACCTTTTCCCAATCCTCTCTCTTCTAGTGTAGGGCTTTCGGTACAATCGCTACACCTCACATTGCATGCCACCCCTCCATCCGACGTCGGCTCTTCAAACAGTATTGATCTTACGCAATCTGTTGCCTCAGTAGCGGAAACATTTATCCATGGCGAGCTTAGCCCCCGGGAAGAAGCCACGCTCCGAGAGTCTTTACATCCAGATTCCCGGCCACAGCACATTTATGATGAGGGTCATCACCTTCCCGGAGGACTAGATTCATCTACCCGTGTACACCCTAAAGAAGAAAGTGGTATAGATTCTGACCCTTCTGGGGTATCTCTATTTGCCACCCTCTTCGAACATCTGCTTGCACGCTTCGAGTTCTCTGCTGTGGACACGAAAATAGTCGTCGTCCACCCCGGGCACTCAAGCTTTACTCTGTCAATACCAGAAATCGCATATAGCACGGAATCGGGTGTCCCAAAGCAGCAAAGTACTGGAGATGGGTCATCGAGCAACGTTGCTCTTGAAAGAAGCCCACAGAGTGGTCACATACGTACAGTTTCGATATCAGGTGTCGCTATTACCTCTCGGGACATTCGAGCTACTTTACAGCGCCCTGTGGCCTCGCCACGAACCATGTCGCCTGTGTCGCTTACTTCGTCTCATGTCACGCTGCACGATTATCAGCAGGCTCCTCGTCCGGTGTCACCTGCGTCCTCTTGTTCCTCCATTGATGAAGACACGCAGATGATGATGTCGCAGTCCATTGTTGCTCTTCCACCACGTAACCAGTTTCGGGCTTCCCCGTCTAGCTCAGTTCTCAGTAGCATGTATCAGAGCGCGGTCTCTACTACTGGCCGCACTTCTCCAGCCATCCCCCTTGAACCCCTCGGCAACCTTGATACGGGAGATATGGCTCGACCACGCTCGTGCGATTACATAGCAGGCAATGGAGAGTCCGCTCATGTACCTCACTGGGCTACAGAAGATCTTGTTTTTTCTGTCGGTGCAGACCCTATTGTGGTTCGACTACAAACGCCACCCGGCCACACTAAGCATGACCTTGCGCACACTTCGAACCCTGAGATAGTTTCGCCTCCTACGGAGAACATCGCGGTCAAGCAGGATGAAACCCTGCGTCTCAGCGTCAGTGTTGGCATCATGTCCTGTGCTCTTCGGGCTTGTCATGTCCGCATGCTATTGGAAATGCTCAATTACTGTGGATCCAAGGATGCTGGTACCACTCCACAACACCCTGAGACTACACCAAGCACACCGACACTCCCGTGCGGCTTGCACGCAAGTCTAAACATCCGCGGAATTGTAACCCTCTTCATCACTGAGGCCCTAGATCAAGAAGTTCCTTCGCTTGAAGCATTTTTCCAATCTCCACTTGTCCCTCCAAGATTGCCTTCGACATACTTCCGCGTATTGTTGGAGAATATTGCAGGCTCTCTTGATTTATCCGGGGCTCCTGGAAATCAGACTGATGCAACACATGTTTCTCCAATAACATCCAACATGTTCATCTCAAATCTCTCGGTCTTCATGTACCACTCTTCCAGGACTGTCGATAAGAACGCGGCGCAAGTTTCGCTACCCCTCCTGATCACAGACCATCATCTGCATAATCAGTATATTGTCAGTCATTGTCGCCCATTTTTCTCTTCGACGCCCATTCCGGCACAGCCGCTTTCTGAAGTAACATTACCGACTTTTGAGGTCGTTGATTGGACTTCTGTAAAACTTGCAGGAGGCTCTTCAAAGCTATCGACCTGGAGAGTGAAGTCACCTACAGGGAGGGATCAGCTAGTACACAGTCCAATATTGAAATCTTCTGCGTTTCCCACATCTCCAAAACCACCCACGGTAGCGTTGTCGAAGGAAGAAGAGCTCGAGGAGATGTCTCTTTCCAGTGCCATTACCTTCACCGCTCGTGTCACCCCTGTGACCACCCGTTCAGGGGGTTTGACCGACATCTTACTTCGGATTGCACCATTACACGTATTCTTCGACCTCGACATCATGCTGGAGGGCGGCAGTATACTCAAGTTTCTTGATGAGATCCTAGCAGTGGAAGGATCTCCTATTCGAAACACTTCCGGTACACCCCAAGGGCATAGTTCACTGGATGACACAGAAGAGAGGGATTCAGCAAGCGATGATGAACTCAACTATCCATTCATGACACCAAAGCAACTCGAACGCGAGAGGGAGAGAAGACGCTTGGAAAGACTTGTCCTCGAGGATCTGGATTTAGACATGGACTATCGGACCGGGGCACCATCGAGACAGAGACCCCACATCAAGCGAGCTACAAATGCCAAACTCAAGGTAGATGAGAGCATAATCTGCAGTTGTGGGTTATATATCTGACTTATCGTGCTGTTTGCTTGTAGTCCAAACCCAAGCAGGTGTCGCGTCTTAAGATTACCGTCGTCCTACCTGCCCTCCGCGCTGAGGTTCGATGCAGATCACCATCCCTTCAGCTCTCCCGATCAGGAGGCATTATACTGGATCTCCATGACGTACGGGTGTCTAATACACCCCTTGATCAAGAACCACCGACAATCAGATTTGGGGATGATGGTGAATCAAGGCATCCCAGCGTCAAAAATTTGCCGGGACAACTCTTGAGTGGCCAAATCAGAGGGATTGTTTTATCGTATGCGCCAGTAGGAGATTCAAAAGCCCATGCTTTCATATCACTTGGTTCCTTACCACGAACGGATGACGTTCGCCCCGGATCAGCTTCATTGCTATTGTCGGAACAGGCGCCGGACTCACTTCCCATTCACTTTCAACTTACGCAGGTGGCTCCATCAAAGTCTGCTATTTCTTCCTCGACACACAGGACTTCAATCATCATTAGCGTCCCATTGGTCAATGTCGTCCTTGAAAAACAAATCTTCGATGGATTGCAAATTTGGGCTGACAGTGTCACACAAGCAGTCACCACTGCTACGGAGGAGACTGAGACTGAAGTTGCTCAGAGCCGCAACCCGAGCCTGATTGGCAGTAGGTTTTTTGCTAAATCAAGGCGCGTTGGGAGTCGTGGTAGTGATGAGAGTAGCTTCGGTACTATAGCGCCAACGCCGAAACAAAGCGAGACAGCTGTGAAAGTGATCATTACTGAAGGTAGAGTGGATTTTGGGTTCAGTTATTGCTCACGTTCATATCTTCGAAATGCAGCTCTAGTAAGAATACTGACATCCCGTTCCCAATCATTTGCATCGTCAATTCGTCCTTTCGACATATCTGCCTCAGACATCGACGTCCTTGTTGAACTAAAACCTGAAGGCAAGGTTTGTAGAATCGTAAAGATATATCTTCGAATTCTCACCTCGACTTCGTTTTCTTTCAATCAGGATGAGACTGTCATAACCTCAAGCTTGATGGACCTTCACGTTGGGGAGGTATCGCCAAAGTGGGAGCTCGTACCTCTCCTCGTGTTGACATTACCTCGCAGTCTGGTGCGTTGTGTAGATTATCTATTGTAGCTGCGTCCCTCACGAAAGTCTAGTCTTCTGTACCAAGACCAATGGTAAAGGCTCGCTTCACTTCCCTCGTTGTTCCCGAAACTGGTGCAAAGGAGACCAAGATACGGTTGGCTCTCTGGGGCTTCACTTGCCATGTTTATCCTAATTTGCAGTGGATTTCCGACTTGGCTCGGTTTATGAAAGCTCCACCGGGGGTGAGTGTACCTTCCCTGGAGTAGAATAGATTAATGATCTTTTCAAGGTCTTCGAATCAGTTGTTCCTTCCGAACGAACGTCTCTTTCTTTCGCAATTGTAGACGTATCTATCAAGACGTATGCCCCTATCCACCCTGGCTCTGCAGTACTGTACATTGGCGAAGCCGAACTAAATACCGAGCTTGCTGGTAATTCCAGCGAGTTCAAGTTCAAGTTGCTGGTTCCTTCCTTGTCATTCTTATTTGTCGATTCCATGGCCGATTCCCCTGACGGTTCAGGTTCTGCCAAAACAAACGGAGGATCCAGTCTCAACTTGTGGAAGGTGATTTCTCCTTTAGCTCACAAGTAAAACAATGCGATGATGCTTGTTCACAGAATTTCGGATTTGCATTGATTGCAGATATCGCAGATCTGGACTTTGTGTTCAAGACTGATAACGCATATGTCCCCCCAAGTGTTGGCGTAAGTCATAGTGTGCTGGGTCATCTTTTGCCACTCAATCAAGTCTAGGTACTTGTGAATCAAGTCAGCCTGCGGGTGCACCTATGTGCAGACACTATAGCTGCACTGACAGGTTATATGAGTGACTTCACGTCCATATTCAAGTCCCCTTCTCCTGCAGAGTACGTGATTATTTAAACTTTCTATACCACAATGTCGCTTATAATCATTCCACAGACCAGCAGTGTCTAAGAAGAAAGTTCCCGCTGAACTTATTCATCGTCCACCTGAACAAGGCATGATGGGTGATTGTTGTTGTTGCAGGAGATGCGAGGGTAACTGAATATTTTTTCCAGCATCTCTCGACGAGCAAGCTTTCAGGCGGATTCCTGATGTCGGTAATGCAGCTGATATGATCAACGATGATTTACCGACGAATCTCGACTACCTGGACGAATCCTTTGGTTCAGCTGCTGGTCTGCGGGAGCTTAGGGATGACGACCTAGAAGACTTCGATATGCAAGAGGACGGCCGAACAACACCAGTAGTTGGCGAAACGGGAGTCGTTTCCAAAGTAGGAGGAGAAACAATCCGCATCATCAAGCCTATCCGCTCTATCGAGCATTATTACGACACGATTCCTGCAGACAACACGGGTGATTTTGCTAGGTAAGTTTTCGCCTTTGACTTGTATTGTCTATGATCGAGCTTTCTGGCAGTCTACGCGATACTATTCTCCGAGTGCGCATCCATGACTCTGACATATCGCTTTTCCTACACGACGGTTATGATTGGCCACGCACACGAAAAATTGTAGAGCAAGAAATTAAAGACATGCGCAAGAAGTTGGCCAAGATTAGGCAGCTGATCGCAACTGGCCAGACCCAAGACCCCAGCGTGGAAGAGACGAGCACGATGTTGTTCAACTCAATTCACATTGGCCTTGATCAGGACTTTGACAGTCTTGATCCGACAGCTCTTGTTGCTGCCATTGATGATGAACTCGAGAACGCGGAAACAGAAAGCCACAGCTCTTGGCAAACCCTTCCTCCAGCATCACCTGGACAACAACAGAGAATGCCTTCCGCTCGCATTCATGGGCGAAGATTGACAAGGTCTAAGGGCCCGAGTATCGAAATCAAGCTAATTGGCCTAGATGCTGAAGTCGATAATTATCGTCAACGTCTGAAAGATGCACTCGTCTCCAGGACGCTGGTTGTAATAAAGGATGCTGAAATCTTGGATCACGTCAAAACGTCCACCTGGAGAAAATTCCTGACCGAACTACGGTCGGACTCTCGAGGCAATATTCGTGAGACGGACTCCAGTATGGTTCGCGTCGAGATCAAGACTGTCCGGCCGTCTCTTTCCCATCCATCTGAGGAAACACGTTTACGCGTGAGTACTTGTTCAGTCAAGACGTACTGACAGGGCTGAGTCGATATTTCCGTAGGCTAAACTCCTGCCGTTGCGATTATATGTTGATCAGGATGCACTCGACTTTTTGAAGAAATTTTTTGCCTTCAAGGATCCCGATAGTCCGTCCGCACCCGCCGATACTGCCAGCGAGGAGACATATATTCGTACGTTCCTGATTCGAACGCTGAATGAATGGCTATATTGATCCCTGTCTGCAGAGCACGCTGAGGTCTTCCCGATCGATCTTAAGCTTGATTACAAACCTCGACGCGTGGATTACAGGGCTCTGCGAGAGGGAAAAACGATCGAGCTTATGAACTTTTTCCATTTTGATGGCGCGGAGATGACTTTGAGACACCTGACTTTGCATGGGGTACGTACTGCTTTGGTACGTAGTTTCATGACTTGACTGGCTTTCATAGATCACGGGTTGGCCCCGGTTTTTCGATACATTGAACGACCTCTGGACGCCAGATGTCAAGGCAACCCAACTTGTGGACGTCATTTCTGGCGTAGCACCCATTCGTTCTATGGTCAATGTTGGCTCTGGAGTAGCAGACCTCGTTTTGCTACCTATTGCGCAGTACAAGAAGGATGGACGTATCGTCCGCGGTGTGCAGAAGGGTACCAAGGCATTCGTACAATCAACTGCAATGGAGGCTATCAAGCTTGGAGCTCGGCTGGCAACTGGTACTCAAGTCATTCTGGAGCAAGCTGAAAACGTGCTCGGAGGCCAGTTCAAGGATTCGGTTACGGCCGAAACGTTCCACATACCGTATGACGATTCTGGAGAAGGACCGGATGAAGAATTGATCAGTAGATATGCCGCCCAGCCCGCTGATGTCACAGAGGGAGTTCAATCGGCATATCGCAGCTTGCAAAGAAACTTGCATTCTGCTGCGCAGACCATACTGGCGGTTCCTATGGAAGTGTACGAGAAGTCCGGAAACGAAGTGAGTGGTATCTATAATATTTGCTCGATTCCAAGCTGACATGGAGTAAGGGTGCGGTCCGGGCTGTGGTGCGAGCTGTGCCAATTGCAGTCTTGAAGCCCATGATTGGCGCTTCGGAAGCCGTCAGCAAAACTTTGATGGGACTTCATAATACCCTGGATCCGAACGTTCGCCATGAGAATGCGGCAAAGTATAAACATCGCTAACATTCTGTTCACGCACTGTAGTATATCATTGTGGTTGTATTAGGACTTGTATCTCATGGTGTACCATCCCCATATCATTAGCCTGTATGCGCAAATCGTTAATCATGCTTTTATGCACTGTTCCTCTGTCAACGGAGTGTTATTTAACCACAAATAACTGCTGGTTGCGTTCAGTACCGTAACTGTTTCAAGTTCTTAGTGCTGTACTTGCCTGCGCTGTTAAACAGCAGGAATTGGAACTGAGAATAGATGTTACTCAGGGGCTTCAAGCTAGTATGGTGGACGATAGGTTACGGTTCGATTTGCCGATTTGCCGCAACTTATTTTGAAGTCCGATCAATGTTTGTTCTAGTCTTTTGAACTATTTGTCAGTACACCTTTGGTACACCTCAAATATTCCCGTCACAAGAGGTCACAAACGGCCGTGTACTTACATGGACATAGTTTGACTGCTCTAAGATTTGATTACGGACCGACCCTGGCCTGACTCAGTCTTAGAGACGATAGATGAATTCATGCCTTTACAATATATTGTTCAAATGGAGCCTCATCGGTAAGTCAGTTAGAAGAATGAAGTATGCTTCTAATGAGTGATCTGTGCTTCGTCCGTGGTCCAGTTTAGGCTTATAAGCAGTGAGTATCCACTGCTGCGAACCTTGTTGACTTGCATCCCTTTTACATAGCCCTATCACATTCCTTAGATGCCCAACCCTCAAGGAAGAAATGGGTACGCTATTGCTCGTAAGTGCATTGATGCTAGTGCTAGCAGCTCTCATATATTTAATGCCTAAGTTGCAGCTTCGGATGAAGCTATACGACCGCTAGTGGAACGATTTGTTGCAAGTGGCTACACCAACCCGGAAATCATTTCTTGTCTTCGAGAACAAAATTTCAATATATCATACGTTGCATCCAGTCAATCATGCTTGTACTGGGGTGGATCCTTGGTTGGGATGGCGTATACGTTTGTTGATGAGATGCTGAAAACTGGTAAAGTGAGCCAGGATGTTGTGGATCTTATACCACATCTTCGTGTTGTTCGTGCTGCGCTGGCTATCCCCGATGGTCTTGATGGCAGCCTCGATGCTATCTATCTTGTAGAGGAGAAGATCCACGGCAGATTCATCAAGTATATCAATAACAATTCCGCTGTTGCTGCTGACAGCCTTCATGGCCGAGAAGTAGTCATTGGACTATTCCTATGCTTCGTACAGCATGTCCAATATCAGCTTACCAATTCAATGGTTTACCTCTCGGATTTCCAAGGTAACTCTACTGCTACTGGGGAGAAGGTTGCTGATCAGCGTATAGGTGCTGGTGATCTTCTCACCGATTGTCAAGTGATTACAGGCTCGTCTGTCGACATTTTCTCCTTGCAGTGTCCTTCTAGACTTACACAACTTTCAGCGATTTTGCGAACAATTTCGGTGATGGGAACTGCACTATAGCGTTTGACGACTTCAAGTCAGAGCACAAGTGTAACAAGTTTTGTCATGCATTTGGATTGCAAGCCTTCATGTAACAAAAATACATTCATGTACCTTGAGACGTTTACGAAGAAATGTTTATCCTTGATGCTTCCTTCTGTTCTCTCCGAATCCTATTCAAACGACGTGCCGAGTCGCTGACAGCATGCTTTCAACAGCGCAGCGTCACAAGAGCAAATGGTGGGTCATTCGATTTCGATGACGTCGACGAAGTGTAGATACTGTAACCAAACCTGACATGTGTCAAGATACCATGATTGATTAGTTAAAGGATGACATACCGGCCCTGGCCAGTCTTCTGGCCAAAGGTATTCAGGTTGGAAGACGTTTTGAGAACGTAGCATGTCTGTAGAGTGCACGCTGAAGCGCTGATGTGTGATTGTGACAGGACCGTAACATGGTGAAAGTAAATTATAGGTATACATTAATAAATTTCACAGTACTGAAACAAACATCGATCGGAATTCAAAAATAAGTCGCGGCAAATCGGCAAATCGAACCGTAACCTATCGTCCACCATAAGCTAGACCCTCGATTTGGGGGGCAAGTCCTTGATCATCAAAAGAAGGATCTGATGCTGATGCTGATGAATGATGAGTTAACTCCGCAGAATTGAAGAAGAAACGTGCTGATTTGGTGCTCTATCTGGGTAGCTATGAAAGCCGCGTGTGACCCGGTGGGCTCGTATCAATATGGTTTGATCTACTGTATACGATCACCGCGGAAACGATCTTGAAGCTAGCGATGAAGACAATAGCTATTTCGGCCGAGTAGAAAACGGCCACCGACCCTCAATATGTGCTAGGGTGGGATAGTCACCTGAACACACTATTCGCGTTACAGTACTAGTGCTTCTAGGGATTTGTGTTCCCCATGACGGGCCTCACTTGACAGCTACCCATCGGTTCAACCCGGTGGTGTGACTACATTGTAAATGGGTCCGCTACTAGTCAGTACTACATCCCACGAAGAAAACGACGGTCCAAATTGCAACCTCGATAGCTTCAGGCTTCAAAGTGCCTTTCCTTGAACAGGTGCTGCTCATCAGCAACCCAGCTCGGTTGGTTATCAGGGCTAAAGAACCTATCGATGAAGTTGGGACCATGACTCACGGCCCCTGAGAAATGCGCAACCCGTTAGCTAAAAGCAGGTAGCTGTTACGAGGTTGCCTGGTTAAAGAGACTTGACGAAGAAAACAAACAAAGGAACTCACCTCATACAAACTCGAAGGTCGGGTTATGCAGATGCTGGTCTTTCCGGAGGGTGGATATCGTTGATTATGAGTGTTAACACGGTGGAGAGAAAGGTGAAAACTCAAGTCTGCATTGGGTCGGGTTAGTAGGACAGTTTACTTTCGAACCAAGGTCTCGTTTACTCGCAACTCCCAGACGCTTGAATTTTCATCCACATCGAGTATGAGTATGGAATAGGTCTTACATCTGGGTTATACACCTAAACACCCTCGGATTACGCTGGAGCTAAAATTCCATGCCCATCGAGCGCTCTTCCCCTTTCATAAGTGCAGTTCTGCTTTTTGCTGGCACTTTTATTTTATCTAGTACTTCAACGGTTTCCTCCATTGCAGTTGGCTCGAGCAGTCTGACAGACACCGACTTCGCAGCCAACTTCTTTGTCCTATGCGCGCGTTGTTTTTCCCGAGCAACTGACATTCTGCAATAATATAAGTCAGTGCGGGAGACGAACACTTGAGTGCAGAAAGTACGAACCTCGACTTCCAGAATGCGTGCTCTCTCCGCTGTTTAATCTCTCCGATGCGTTTCATGGCGTTGATTGTCGTATGTATCAATTCGCGATCGTAGCGGACAGGTACGTTTCTACGCTTCTCAAAGTCGATCGTAGAGTCCTTGTCGCGAGAAGTGAGTAGAAGTTTCTTTAGATCGAGAAAACAAGCATACAATCGTCATTTCCTTCCCTGCTGCTTTACGGAAAGCCTTCGTCCATCTTACTTTGCGAGGATTTCGTTTCATTCTAGGAGGACATTAGACATGGGTCGAAAAATATGGCTGAGAAGTAGCTTGCTTGAAGTTTTTGTGGCATCTGACGGTTTGGTTCAATAACGCACAATCTGGTTTTCTATCATGGGACTCACTTTGAAGTGCAAAACCGGAATACCTTCGAATCATTGCGGACGAAGGCACTTCCTGAACATGTTGTGAGATGTTGTACTGATAGTCTCATGTTTCTATTGCTCACCGTGCCCAGGATACACGTTCGTTGAGCAAAAATAACATTTCTCGATACGCATGTCTGCTTGCTACACCTGTGGGCGAAGAAAGGATAACCGTGGGAAAAAATACCATCGCCGAGAACGTTATCCTCGCGCGGATCATTCGTTGACGGGCTATATCTTAGAGAACTCGCAATATTTTCGAAACCAATCATGACTAGTATATTACTCAATGAGCACAGGCTCAGCATGATGCCCGTTCTATCATTGTTTCAGCTTCTCGACCAACTCTGGCACTACCTCGAAAAGGTCTGCTACTAATCCTACGTCCGCCACTTGGAATATGGGTGCGTCGGGATCCTGAAGACGAATTACAAGGGGTCGACAGTGTTGTGAAGACTCACTTACCTTATTTACTGCCACGATGAGTTTGGAATCCTTCATGCCAGCAAGATGCTGGATAGCACCAGAAATGCCCAACGCCATGTACAGTTCAGGAGCCACCACCTTTCCTGTCTGTCCGACTTGTAGGGAGTTGTCTGCGTACCCTGCATCCACAGCAGCACGCGATGCTCCAACCGCAGCACCAAGTGCATCAGCAAGAGGATACAAAGTAGATTGGAAGGTCTCGGCATTCTTCAATGCGCGTCCCCCAGAAACAACACGGCTTGCAACACCCAAGTCAGGGCGATCGGATTTCGTCAAAGATGTGCTAATATGTTCCGTGGGTACATCAGATACCTCGACAGAATCGAGAGCTTTGACTTCGCTCTCTGCCGCATCTCCTGCTCCAGCAGCCGCAAATGCGGTAGATCGGACAGTGAAGAACTTGATGGGGATGGAGGAGGATGCACGAACAGTGGAGATAGCGTTACCGGCGTAGATGGGACGGGTGAAGGTAGTGCTTCCCGATGCTGCGTCATGTTCAAGGGATGTGATATCAGATACGGCCGGAACATCTAGTTTTGCGGCAACTCGAGGCAGAATAGACTTGGCAGAGCTGGAGTGAGCTGAAACGACATGCGTGAAGGGCGAGTTTTGTGATAAGAGCCTCTCTAAGAGTGGAGATATCGTCTCAGGTAACGACGTGCTGTACTGTGGGGATGCGCAATGCAGCAGTGTATTCAAGCCGTTTAATCTAGAAGGGGTTAGCAATGGACCTGGGGAAGTTCAAAAGCGTACCTCCTAGCCTTCTCTACAACAGACGGCACCTCCTCGGGGCTACCCACGACAAGGCCAGTGACTTGACCGCCCAATTGAGATGCTGCCGTCAAGGCAGAAAGTGATGCGGAGTCAAGATCACCCTGGCGATGCTCCAAAAAGACCAAAGCATGGGGTGGGGCAGCTGTCGCATAGCTACGAGCGAGAACCCTGTTTAGCTGTGAAATCCGTGCTCTCAACATGTTGAGCTGAGGGCTTTGCCGAAGAAGATTCAGATAACGAAATAGTTTATGCTAAGTCTCTATATATACATGCTACTTTTGTACTTAACAGTTACTCAATCAGTTTTTTTTTAGACAAGAGAGTTGCCATTAACCCACCACTCACTCAATCGTAGCGGTGCGCGCGCGTGCACCAAGTCCTCGATCGACTTCTCCGAAATATTCTGTGCAAAACGAGTCTATATTTGATTACTCGTACATGAATACCTAATACCAGTTTCGATAATGGCATGCCGAGTTTCCCACTCACATGGCGGCATCTCCGAGTCTGGGCCAGCGTCTGGACCAAGCTAACGCTGGGTCCCACTGTTTCGCGATATACAAAGCTGGATTGGTCATTTAGCCAATCGGCCTCTCAACTTGGGACTACTTTCTCCACGTCTAGACTCTAGTTGCTCCGGAATTACTAATACTGCCATGGTGCGTAACGTTCTAGAATGGATGCATCAGGTGCCTGGATATTCCCTACTTACTTGGTACAGTCAGGGATGAGGTTTTTTTATATGAAGCAAGATATCGGAGTAAGCTGAGTCTGATTGTGTGCCGAAGTGCAAAGATTACAGGCAAAGACATATTACTGATATCGGATTGGAACGAAGATGGACAGCAGAAACTCTCGAGCTTGCTTCATGGGACCCTATCCTACCAACTCCCCATTTTTCTGATCAGCTCTTTTCACCTGCTGTCAACTATGCTGACCGAGATGCGGACAGCGGAGTGTCGGCAAGTCGTTCTGGGCTGCTCGTGTTTCACTGTCCCCGACAGGGGATAGCATACAAACCTTACTTGACAGTTATTCGCAGTTTAAGTATTTCGCTCTGCACACTGCACTATGACTTCCCACAGCATTCTAGATTTTGATTCAAACCCTAAAAGTCAGATTATCGTCTCGCTAGAAACAAATCGCAGACCTATTGTCTAATGGTACTACAGTGTTGCAACGTTGAGACCTAGGCGCCAAAGGGCATGCAAGCGATGGTCATGACATAGTCACAGAGTTCGAAAGGTTCATTATGTTTTGAACACCCTTCTAGATACAGGGTGTTCAAGTTTTGGACATGCGGACTTGTAAAACACGGACGTTTGACATCGGCGCGTCGGCACGAGGACTTAGATTTCGATTTAGAACGACGTTCAGAATAAACACTGCGGGAAGTCCTAGTCATCCATAGAGTAGAGGGTTACTAAGTAGCTCGCTTATAGTGGCACCTAGTAAGTGCCATTTACCGGTCTGTTTTGTCATTTCTGTTGACTCTTCGTCAATGTGACGGCGCCCTCGACTCCTCTGATCACGTGCAGTGATTCCACAACCACGTCTCATTCAAGCAACTTATCAAACTGCATTCAATAAGTTTCCAACCTCGACGTCAAATTACGCTCATGTCGTGCTTTCCGTGCCTCTGCCCAGCCCTCTGTACTATGTTGTATAAGCTACTTTGTTTAATTGATGGGTTATTGCTCACCAGTGCACCCGTCGACGAGAACTTCGCGTTCTCCATCCAATTCATCACTTCCATTTCTTAGGAGGCATACTGGCTGACACCAGCTATGATTTATCATCTCCTGTCCCATGAGAAATTCCCTGACAGATCTCCTGGCATCCCTCATCTATGTAACATGTCTTCTGTCCTGACAGACATCCAAACGCACCACACGTGATTGGCGGGGCCCATCCGCCTGCGTTTGCAGATAAGCCGTCTTTTGGATGTTCAGCGCTGAGCGCTCAGGTACCAAATTGCCCTGTTGTGAGCGCGTTAAACTGCCACAGAAACAGTACCAGAATGTCTGAAACTCACTCATAAGGAACGGTGATGACAGACAAGCGAGGGATTGAAATAGGCAGATGCAAAAGATATGCGGGGTCTCAAAGTGATGGTGTCCTCAGGTCCACCACAATATATGGGGGAATCAGATATGTCATGAATGTCTCCGCTCATCGAAAATACGAGTGGCGCGGGACGGAACCTTGACGATAGACGGCCTGTAACGCAAAGAATAAACTTGACACATAGCAGGGCAGCAAGAATCCGAACTCGGTAGGTACTCGCGTCCACAGTGGTAGAAGATGAGACTGAATAAAGGTAATGAGCAGCGTGACATGGATGAGGCACAAGTAATCATCCTATTTAATTGGTGGGCGAGAGTCAAGCTTGGGATTACGCGATCGGCGGCCTAATTTCTCCCGTAAGCGGAAATAGTCAATTTGCGGTCAACCTCCTCGAGCTCACCGTGACTTCGTGGGAGTCCAAGGGAACCTATCATCGACTTTCCATTTGATACAAACTAGGGAGTACGCAACGGTTTATCGCAATCCTATGATCATCTGTCGCCTTGATGAGTCACCGGTATCGGCCCACTATCCTATTCTTACATCCCCCGCATCTTCGTTATCGCAAAGTTCACAATATAAGTATACCTCAAAGGTTAGCATTGTAATACCAGGTTTTAACACCGTCTGAACTCATTCTTCTACTTGTGCTGGCTACTTCGAGCTGCTTGCTAAATAGTAGACCTTCATAACTTTGTTCTCACTCATTCACTACCGCCAAGGTAGGCCAGTCAACTCAGTGCATGTTTCAATCACTTACTGACGTCTTATCACAGACTAAGAGATGGACTTGGATGTCCACGCGCTTCTAACAGGTTACCAGCATCTCGCGTTTCCAGACCTTTCTGATAGTCGCGTTCATGATCGTTCTACTACCTACCTCAAGTCAGCATCTCTCGACTTGGTGGCTTTCCAGGACTGCGGTATAGACATACCAGGATCCGCTGCCCTACTCCTTGCCTCGTTTTGTAACATATTGGGCTTGTACTGTGCATCCTCGGACATCTTGGTCGGCATTCTATCAGCAGGCACAATTCTCCCCTGTCGTTTCTGTTGGAATACCGAAACGGTTTGGGGAGATCTAGTGGACGAGGCTCGTCATTCACTGGATAGAATCGCGGGTCCAAATATCACAGAGTCTGAGTTGAAAACTGAGCTCGGCTTGAACGAGGACCAATCACCGTTTACTGCTCTCTTCGTCCTTGATGACTCTCGACCAGAGAACGCATACATCCCCGACGACCTTCTTGGATCTCCTTTGCTTTTGTTCAATCCTTCGGCAGCTTTGTTGTCTGTCTGGACATCATCGCGCCTTGTACACCCTGCCGTAGCCGATCAGTTACTTTCCCAGATTGTGGTTTCGTCGGTGCACGCAGCTCAAAATCCCATCTCAAAGATCTCATCACCTCCTTCCTACCCAGCTAATGTTGCGTCTGCTGTCCAGTGTCTTTGCTCTGAGGCTCGTGCGTCCGTTTACCAACATATCCGTCCTGTTACCATTGCCACAGACTTCATCCTCCCATACGTCCAAGTCGATCCCAATGCACTAGCAGTGTGTTGGTACCCTAATTTAGCAGCAGGACCTAGAGACAATCTCGTTCCCGAAACATTGTCATATGGCGATCTACATGTCCAAGCCAACAAACTAGGTCGATACCTCATATCTCAGCAGTTGAAGCCCGAGGACAGGGTTGCTGTGTGCATGGATCGCAACACGCTGTTTCACATAGTCTTGTTTGGAATTTTGCGTGCCGGAGGTTGTTATGTTCCGGTTGGTATCAAGAAATTATCATCCTTATATGCGCTGACTTGATGCGAAGATTGATCCCGAGCTTCCGGACGAAAGGAAGTCATACATCGCAAAGGACTCGGGTGCTAGATTTGTCATTTTGGAGTCTCATAGGCACTCTCCTGAGATATACGGGGGCAATGTCCTCGATCTTGACGATGATCATATCTCGCGAGACATACAGGCAATGACTACAGCCGATCTAGATGTCGCACTTCCAAACAATCTGGCGTATATGCTCTACACATCTGGTAAACAACATCAGACATTTCATTTATATCCAGTGAATCTAACAACTGATTTAGGCACCACTGGCACTCCAAAAGGCTGTCTTCTCACCCATGAAGGTCTCGCTGAAGCGATACTAGCGTTAAGCTCCTTCTCCGCTGCTGTCCATATGGACAATATTCGAGATGGAAGGTATCTCGGCGTTGCCTGTAGGAACAATCTTTCCCCCTCATGTATTCTCCTAACTTGGGCTCTGAACCATAGCTGTTGCGTTTGACGTACATCTCTCGGAGACCCTTGTGCCTCTCTCTCTGGGCATGTTGATGATTTCTGCGCCACGCGGAATACTGTTGGAGAACCTTCCATATTATATCAGTCTTTTGGGCATCACGCACGTTGGAATCGTGCCCAGCCTGATTGACGCGACCATGGGCACTATTCAAGAAGACGAAGCGATGGGTGGCTCGAAATTGCGATTCATCGGCAGTGGTGGAGAGAAAATTAGTGACACAGTGAGGGTCTTACATCTCAATGCCCTACGGATCCTGAAAGGCGAATGATAGATTCTAGAAAAGTGGGCGGATCATCCCAAAGTCAGACTTGCGAACTTCTACGGGTAATTGACTAATTCCCTCCTACCGCCAATCTCTTTCTCACCACGTCCCCCAGGCCCAGCGAGGTGACCATTGGATGTTGTGCTCGTTTTATGGATAGCAACACACCCAAAGGCAACGTTGGACGAGCCTTCAGCAATGTTGCGGCTTATGTCGTTGATCAACATCTCGATATATTGCCGCGGGGAGCCGTCGGAGAGCTCGTCGTTGGTGGCCCCCTTGTCGGGCGCGGTTACCATGGACGTCCGGATCTAACAGATAAAGTATTCATTGAATGGCCGCAGAAAGGTTCTTGGGCATATCGCACAGGGGATCTAGCGCGAATGATGCCTGATGATACATTGGAAATCATTGGCAGAATCGATACTCAGATCAAGCTACGCGGAGTGCGCATCGAGGCGGAAGGGATATCCGCTGTGCTTCAGCGAGCTGCTCGGTCCTGCCTGCAGTTCAACCTTGATGTTGGGACCATTCTTGGGACCCATCCGGAGATTGGAGGTGGCAGCTCACCGCAGCTAGTCTCTTTCATTTCCTGGGACACAGGAGTATCAATTACTACGAGACGGGGCGGCTCTAGGCCTGGACTAGTGAAGTCCGGAAGGGACCTGTTGCACGTTTTGCGTGATGCCTGTGAAAAGGAACTCGCCAGTTATATGCGACCTGCCCATATAATAGCCCTCAGTTGGCTTCCCCTCAGTGCTAACGGCAAAGCGGACATCAAAGTCTTGGCCTCCATCTTTTCAAGACTAGATTTTAACGAACTGATCGGACTCCAAGACCCTACTGGCTACGTTGACGACCCAGACAGCGATAGCCCTGCTTCTGACCTCGAGGAACGGATACTAGAGCTCTTGAGAGAAAGCTTTGCGATTGCGAGCTCCGGTGGACCTGTTGGTGTGCACACTAGCTTATTCGCGCTTGGAATGGACTCATTGTCACTTGCGCGGTTTGCATCCATAC